CCCAGTACGGGATCGCACCGACACACACAGCCCCGCTGCCCTCGGTTCCCGCTCACCGTACTTTCCCAATCCCGTCCGTCCTCTCCGAATCCATTTTGCCTGAGCGCGAATTTCAGACTTAGAGCTACGGGGCGGGGCTTCCCGGGGGCGACCAATCGCAGCTCGCAGCCTCTGCACCGGCACATGACCGCAGAGTCTAATGAAGCTGGTGGTGGAGTCTACAATAGGGGGCTATGGGGCCATTGGGGGGAGGTCACCCCTGCGGAGCTGTGGAGTGCGGACTGCTCCGTGTGATATTACGTGTGCAACATTCCCTAGTAAAACGAAGTAAAAAAGAATAAAGAGTAAGTTTGACTAGAAGTTTCCTCACATTCATCTCCTACCCTCATACACCCGATGTCCTATGAACCCCAAGTCCTCCTCCGACCCCCAATGTAATGTTACAATGTCCTCCTACCCGCATCTGCATCTCGTACCCTCATACACCCGATGTCCTATCCAAATGTCATGTGAACCCCAAGTCCTCCTCCGACCCCCAATGTAATGTTACAATGTCCTCCTACCCGCATCCTCTATCTCGTACCCTCATACACCCGATGTCCTATCCCAAATGTCAGGTGAACCCCAAGTCCCCCGACCCCCAATGTAATGTTACTCACAATGTCCTCATACCCGCATCTCCATCTCCTACCCTCATACAATGTCCATCTCACCTGCACCCAATGTCCTTCTCACCGGCACCCAATGTCCTTCTCACCTGCACCCAATGTCCTTCTCACCTGCACTCAATGTCCATCTCCTGCACCCAATGCCCATCTCCTGCACCCCCAATGTCCATCTCCTACCCCCAATGTCCATCTCCTACCCCCAATGTCCATCTCCTGCACCCAATGCCCATCTCCTGCACCCCCAATGTCCATCTCCTACCCCCAATGTCCATCTCCTGCACCCAATGTCCATCTCCTGCACCCAATGTCCATCTCCTGCACCCAATGTCCATCTCCTGCACCCAATGTCCATCTCCTGCACCAAAGGTCCATCTCCTGCACCAATGTCCATCTCCTACCCCCAATGTCCATCTCCTGCACCCAACGTCCATCTCCTGCACCCAACGTCCATCTCCTGCACCCAACGTCCATCTCCTGCACCCAACGTCCATCTCCTGCACCCAACGTCCATCTCCTGCACCAAATGTCCATCTCCTGCACCAAATATCCATCTCCTGCACCAAATATCCATCTTCTACCCCCAATGTCCCTCTCCTGCACCCAATGTCTATCTTCTACCCCCAATGTCCCTCTCCTGCACCCAACGTCTATCTCCTACCCCCAATGTCCATCTCCAGTAAATAATTTCATCTACAGCTCATACCACATTAGCATGCTCAGTAAGTTGTAGATAGTTTTAAGTAAAGGAATGTGTTATACCTGGAGTATTTGACACTCAGAACAGGTGACTTTACAACACCCCCTTACTCTGCACGACAATCACAATCTTAATATAAAACAAAAAAATACTAATAAAAATGGCCAGAAAAGAAACAGACTGTGAAAAGTGTTTGTGCCCCCTTACACTCGTATGCAGTATAAGCAGGGCTTGAAACATTTTAGGGTGTCTCACCAGTCAGTCAAAAATGTCACCAGTCAGCAAGACGGACTATAGCTCTGCAATTTATAACATTTTTTAGGGACATATAGAGCTTTCTTTTGGTGGTATATAATCACCACTGGGGGTCGGGTTATTTTGTTTAACTATATAATGAAAATAGTATTGTAAACTTCGGAAAAATGATATTAATGCATTAGAGGTGAGCAATCAGCAGTCAGGGATTATATTGTGTTGATGGCTGGTTTAACAACAAATGTTTGATGAACATCAGCGATATGCAGCTTTCCTTGGACTGAAAGTGACACTGAACTCAGGAGGTAAATCTTAAAAATGCATTCAAGTACCTTAACTGTTAACAAAAATTGATCTTTTTTTGTGACTCCTGAGTTTAGTGTCAGTCATGTGCAGATTGTTGTGAATAAAAACGAAGATTCACTGAACTTTGACGTGTTTGTCATATTGGTGTGCTGGTGACATCTTTTCACAACAATCTTTGCTTGATGTGGCGCCATCCGCAGTCACTGCGAGCACCCATTTTTCCTATGGGAAGTCCGGTAAGGTGTGCTACAGGTCATTTGTAGTCATGTGCAGATGAAATAAATACATATGTATTTGCGTGAGTGGTTAGTCACAGAATATATTAAGTAAAGATTCTCAACTCCTTTAGTAAATAAGTTTAACTGCTTCTGCTACGTCTCGCCATTTACTCTTGCTGCATCCTCAGTGCCATAGGCACCACTTTCTGTTACTGTATCAACGAAAATAAGTCTATTAGCCAAGCACCGAGAAGGGTAGATGATCAGCAGTAAAACTGTGGGCCTTCTGTCACTTTCCAAGGAAGACGTGGAATGAAAGTGACAAGGGTGAAAAATAATAGGAGAGTAAGAATGTCGGCAATGCCTTTGTTTGTTGTAAGGTTCAAGAGTTGGAAAACACTCAGAGATCCATTTATAAACAATTTGCAGAGACATTCAACCTGCAAATCTTTCAGAGCGTTCGTTCTGTGCGTATAGACACACAAATGTCCAACCTTCTATACTTTCTTTTCGGGATGAATGTTTATAATATAAAGCTGCGTTATGTCGACTAGACGGAGCTGAGAAACATAGGAAATAAATAGTATTTTTTTTGAAAGATTACATCTCAAAATATATTGTTTGTCACACAAAATTTATCGCTTACATTCTTACCTTCCTACGGGAAATGAAGGGAAATCTTCCAGTGGGTAAACCTGTTTAAGAGGGGATATCCACTCACTTTGGAGAGATCTCCTCTTGCTTCCTGCTGGTTTTCCAGAACAGAAAAGTGTAATTTTATGTTTCAACCTTTTACCCCTGGGGCAACAGTATGGGGAAGGCTCTTTTCTGTTCCAGTTGCCCTTTTGTAAAAGTCAGCTCCATAATGACATGGTTTAATGAGTTTGGTATGGAGGGACCTGCACAGAGCCCTGACCTCAACCCTACTGAACACCTTTGGGATTGAAAATACTGATTGCAAGTCAGGTCTTTTAGTCCAACATTGTACCGGAAATCAAAGATGTTCTTTTGGCTAAATGGGCACCAATTCCAATGGACACTCTCCAAAATCCGTCCCAGAAGAGTGGGGGCTGTTGCAGTTGCAAAGTGTGTGTGGGGCAACTTCATATTCATAGTTTTGGAATGGGGTATCCAAATAACTAATTTAGGTGTGATGGTCAGATGTCCACAAACTTAACATTTATCAAAATGTAGGTAAGCAGAAAATAAGAACTAGGGATGCACCGATACCGTTTTTTCGCTACTCGCCGATACCGAATACTGAAACTGGAAGTCCCATTAAGGAAGCCAGGTGGCCTATAATGACTCGCCACCTGGCTTCCTAATTAGCCGGGCAGCATGTAAAGACTTGCCACCCGGCTTCCCGATTAGCAGGAAAGCTGTCTCCATGCTTCTTGTCAATAGGTGAAGAGAAAGCATGGAGCCAGCCAATGAGGAAGCCGGGGCGCCGTGTAATGACCAAGTGCCCGGCTTCCTGATTGGCCTGGAAGCCAGCTCCATGCTCCAAGCACGAAGCCGGCTTCCCGGCCAATCAGGAAGCCGGGCAGAATGTAATGACTCGATGCCTGGCTTCCTGACATCGGAAGCTCAAGTATCGGAGCATTTGGGCGAGTACGAGAACTCTCCCAAATACTTGGCATCGGCACTGATACCAATACTAGTAACGGTACATCCCTACTAAGAACTCAGTAGTAGTAAGTATAATATAGAAGTATAATGTTTGCTGGTATAATATACATTGTATACAGATAGAACATGAAACCAAAAACCTCTTTGGGACAATTTTATTAGCTCTTTTTTTCACCAACATCAAATTGGTGGCATATTATTTACTGCAACACTTGAACCATTAGTGCAAAGTTGGAAGAATAACTTACAGACTGTTACAGTTCTATAGTAGGAATGTTGGAAATTTTACAGGAAATGATGTGGATTCCAGCTCGGCACTGTCCAGTTACAGTAGCCATAGGTGGAGTCCTTGACGTAATAGCCGAGTACTGCTGCGGTTGTCCCTCTTGACACATTAGGAAATGAGATGAGCAAATGAAAATTGGCGGAAATTGGACAAATCGGATAGTTTTCAAATGATTGCTCTATTTTTATTCTGCATCTGCTACTTTGTACGATCCCTCCACTTAATTCATGAACCCTATTTGTCAGGATTTATGAATTTTGTAGTTTGCTGTGTGGATCAGGTAAGAGAACTGGCAAATTCACCTTAAATGTATCAGATTTTCCCAACTTGCAGAGAATCCATTTTTTTTCTCATCTCCAGCTGCAGCATTGTGTACAGTGATTTACGAGTAAATAGAAGGTTCCCTTAATATCCTATGGCAAAGAGTTTAGCCATCATGATAAAAAAATCTCTTCCCACAACCCCGTACTTGAAATATCTTCAGCCTATGTGACTACTGGCTTAATACACTGCCATTTCCCCAAGCTATAATCCTAGTGGTTTCTGGCCTATACATGTATGGACATACAATGGCCCTTACGTGTATGAACTGAGGCAATAGTCTGGACTACTCACAACAACCAATCAAACTCTTGCTGTCATTTTTCATGTGCAGATAAAAAAAAAAAAAAATGAAAACAAGACCCTGAATGGTTGCTTTGGGTCACAGCCCTGTGTTTATGTTTCACATTATATATCACGCTCAATGATATATAAATGCCTCCTAGATTTTGATGGATTTTCACAACATTTTTTTTAACCTAAAATGTCCCTCTGCAGCATCTCTCACATTAAAATTAATTATATTTACAGTTTTACTTTTATCTCACAAGCAAATATTATTTCTTCACTGTGCGAGGAAGGTCTTCAATCACATTATCTCCACAAGGAAACCTTCAGGGATTTCAGCATAAGCCACAGTTATAGGACACCATAATTAGGGGGCACACCATGGCTTCCATCTGATTAATTTCCCATGCTCTCTAAGAAGTCATATTCCACGTTTTCCTCAAGTTCCTTCATCACCCTTGTAGTGTCTTCTACTGGGTATTCCACAGAGCCGTAGAGGCCTTGTGCCATGCTAGAACTTTTTCCCTTTGCTTTAAACACATAACTTAGTGTCCTGAAAAACGGCACGAGCTGGGTGATCTTGGATATAGAATGGAGACCAAGGAGAGGGAACTCATTCCTCTTCAAACTAGAGTCTTCGGCTGCATGTTCCTGAGAGTAAAGAGTATGAGCGTAAGTACAGTTTATATCATACAAGCAATTTCATGTACCTTGAAATAAGAAAAAAAGGATGGTGACAATGACACCGACACTGATGAGCCGAACACCCCCCTGTTCGGTTCGTATTCGAACATTCGAAATGGCCGAAATGTTCGAATACGAAATCGAACTCAATGCAAGTGTATGGGGGTCGAATGTTCGACCCCCATACAGTTGCCGGTACATGTAATAAATACAGTGTACTGGCCCCCTTACCTCCGCTGCTGTCCCGGCCTCTGGTCCCCTGGTCCGTCCACTCGCTGTCCCGGCCTTCGGTCCCCTGGTCTGTCTGCTCGCTGTCCCGGCGGTCCGTCGGCTTTTCTCCTTCAGTCTGGCCGCGGCTACTCTGCCCCGCCCCCCTGCCTCCACTTCGTCTGCAGGCTGGGGGCCATACCTTCAGGCCCCTCCTCCGCTGAGCCCTGATTGGGCAAAGTCTTGCACCTGACCTTTGGTCAGGTGCAAGACTTTGCCCAATCAGAGCTTCAGTGGGCATTTTGTATTATGGAATGTACGCGGTCGAACAGACCGCGAACATCCCATAAAGTTCGGCGCTCGTCGAGCACTCGAACTGCCGATGTTCGATTCGAACTCATGTTCGAATCGAACACTCGGCCCATCCCTAAATGACAGTACACCAACTGTTCAATGTTCACCACTCTGCTCTGCCAATCTCTCCACTTGCCCAATGAATACAATTCAAACTGGCAACAACAACATACAAAGCCATCTACAACTCTGCCCCCTGCTACATCACCCACCTTATCACAAAATATCACCCAAATAGTCCTCTCCGCTGCACTCAAGACCTCCTGCTCTCCAGCTCCCTCATCACCTCCTCCCATGCTCACCTTTGATACTTCTCCAGAGCCTCTCCCATGCTCTGGAACTCCCTACAACAACCTACTCGGCTGTCCCCTACCCTTTCTGCCTTTAGACGATCCCTGAAAACTCATCTCTTCAGGAAACCCTATCCCACCTCAACAATCTAACTGTTCTTTTACCTTTTCCATTAACTATTACATGATCTATCATCAAGTCACGGTGGTGAAACGAGTGAGAGGCTTTGCCGTGGGAGGAGACTCACGGTGATGTACATGTTGCATATCATACTTTGGATTTTGTTTCTTGGGATTTGTTTGGATTTACTTCAATAAAACTTTGGAATTCACTTACTCTGGTTTTGTGCGGCTGATCTTTTGGAGATGGATTTAGCAAAGTGATAAGACTGCCTCTCACCTAGCAAAGTCTATGCAACAGTTTTTCGGTGTATTTGGACCCCTGCAATCCTGGGCAGCTAAATATGACAGATTTACAACTGAATAATGAGACAGGTTTTCCTTTTAAACTGATGCAGAATTCAGACATGGTCAGGGCCAGGTTTTATCCTTTAGATTGTAAGCTCTTAGAGCGAGAACCTCTTCCTCCGCTTGTATGGAATTGTTTCATAACTGTACTGTCTACCTGCCTGTATAATATTAATATTGTAAAGTGCTGAACAAACTGTTGGCACTGTAATAACTCTATATAATAATAATAATAGAAGAGTACATGACTCAAGCTGTAACCATGTTGTAGATCTGTCGCACATTCGGTCTCTCTGCTCCTGTTTAGCATTGCCTTGCCGAGCGACGGAATGAATAAATGTGCCCCATAATGTTGTTTAGGGTAAGATGGCATTATGAAAGCTCCCAGGTAAATACTCACCCCAAACCGGAACTTCATGAGTTCCAGTATCCGAACAACATGAGGTTTACATTCTTGGTGGTTCTCTACCACTTCTGCAGGGATGACACAGGCCTCCGTGTCTACCTCAGGGACAAACGCCCATCTGTACCTGCACGACAATGAAAACAAAGCCAAATTACCAGATCAGCAATGATTATGTACACTACTGGGAGGGATTGTGTTTCTGCCAGATACATTTAATATTTCTGGACCAACCAGACCTGGTTGGTCCAGAAATATTAAATGTAACTGGCAGAAACACAATATACCATACCACAATATACCATATAGATACCATACCATTGCCCCCACTTATACCTCATCTTTTCTAGTTGAAATTACCTGAACATGAGTCTGCAATTAAGTCTTTGATAGACTAGAAAACCATTTCTTACTCCCCCTTTTACACTGTCATACTTTCACCTAATTAGTCATTTTCCAGTTTGAACCACTGAAGGGCACTACTGGTCCTGGGCCTATGAGCCCCACATTTACAGTCATGGATCTGGCCATCTCCAAATACATTATCTGGCCTCCACAGTTGTCAGGGGAAGGGTTACCTCTCCAGGGACACCAACAAGCACCTTTTTTTTCAGCCTGGAACAACCATGATTAAACAAGGAGTGTCTCTGAATAGCCGGGACATCTGGTCAGCCTATGCTAAGCAAATAAGAGTGCCACGTATTTCTCATGTATACAGCACTGGCATGTTACCCAATGCTATACGGAGTACATGATGATGATTCACATCAGTCCCTGTACCCACACACGACTACACTCTAATACAGGGGTAGCCAAACTCCCGCCCTCCAGCTGTGGTAGAACTACAAATCCCATGAGGCATTGCAAGATTCTCACAGCCACAGGCATAACTCCCAGAGAGAGAGATGCATCATGGGATTTGAAGTTTCACCACAGCTGGAGGGCCGGAGTTTGGCTACCCCTGCTCGAATGTGTCTACCAAAGTCTATCATTATGCACATATACACATTAGGTCCAAATTGAGCAGACAATGGTGAAACCGTTGTTGGGTTTTTAGGGTTGTGGAAGAAAACTATAATATTTCAAGTAAACTAAGACAGAGGGGAACATACAAATGTCATGCAGATAGTGTCCTTAGCGGCAGTCAACAAAAGTCTATGGGGACTTACATCTGAAACAGAGGCATCTTGTCCGGGGGGAAGGAAAGTGCGGTGTCCAGGAACTTGCTTGCAGATAAATACATGTCCAAGCTGTTCTGCTGGATCTCCACATATACAGGCCCATTGCTCTCTGCCAAGGCGGCTTTCTGTTTGTTTGTCTTGCTATTCCTATGAGGAATAAAGTTAAGGGAATTGATAACACGACACAAGATGCAATACATGTGCTTATTAGGGAAAATGGGACCTTCCATGGCCCTAATAGTCCGGTAGAACAATCAGACCTTGGGCCCTTTCCAAGGTTTAATACATGAAAGTGTGCTACACGATAAAAATCATGTCACCAATACCAACCAATGAGTTTCTGTTATGTTTGCAGGTTCAAAAATGAGATGAGCATTCTAAAAGGTTGCTGTAGGCAGCAATACTTTATGACAGTAACACAATTTTAATACATTAGCCCCCGACTGTTTGAAAGAGTCAGTTGATGTTTCAGGTTTTGGTGGATGGTTTGAATAACCACCAGCTATTGGTATTTTCCTGGGACTTCGCCCAGATTTCAGCTCCCAAGTTCCCAGCTCCGTCCACTTCCCTTATTTTTGAATCCTATAATGTTACATTGTGCAGAGACATTGAAAAGAAAAGAACTCTGGGCAGTTACAAAATTAACCCTTGCAGTGGGGCTACCCCAGGATTAAAAGGAGAACTATGGGGTTAGGGCTTTTCCCCATAGTTCTCCTTAGGGTAACGGGAGGACACAAACTAGCGTTCTCCTGTCACCCTAGGCTCAGTATACCGCGACCTACTGCTTGCGGTATACTGAGACGCCGCAGCTGAAGCGGATCCCGACAATTATGTCTGGATCCGCCCAGATGCGTGACTGACAGCTGGCTCTGCCTACCTAGAGGCAGAGCCAGCTGTACCCGCCCCCTCCACCGTCCGTTCCGCCGATCAGCGCTAGAGGATCGGAGCGGGATGGGGGAATCCAGCCCCTCCCCTGTCACGGCAGAGAGCTGTGACAGGATCAAGAAGTGAGGGAACGCCGGTATGTGTTCGCTCACCTCCCGATCTACTGAGCCGACCTGTGACAGTCTCATTGTCACAGGTCGGCTAGAACTATGAGGTGAGTGAAAAGCACTCACCTCATACTTCTCCTTTAAGGGGTTGTTTTTCTCTAGGGTCTAAAATAAAGAAAGATATACTCACCGGAACCTCGACCCTGCCTGGCTGCCTGGGCTCCAGCGGTCTAAGGATCCGTGAGTCATCATGTCCAACACAGAGTATCGCAGGGGTAGCCAAACTCTGGCCCTTCAGCTGTGGAGGAACTACAAATCCCATGAGGCATGGCAAGATTCTCACAGCCACTGACATGACTCCCGCAGAGAGATGCATCATGGGATTTGTAGTTTCACCACAGCTGGAGGGCCAGAGTTTGGCTACCCCTGGTGTATTGGATGTGAGGATGCCAAGGGACATGGAGCCCGGGGGAAAAGAGGAGCGTGGTCTCTGCCGAAGGATCGAGGTTCCGTTGAGTATAACTTCTTTATTTTAGACCCTAGATGAAAATTAGACTTTAACCCTTGCAGTGTGGGGGTAGACCAGAGTTCTGTAAAGGGTATCTATGGTCAAAAACTAAAACTAAATTTGTATTTCTATATTGAATTTCCACAAGTTCTCTCCCACTCCTCATAACCATATCTATGTAGACGTTTGTTAACTTACTTATTGAAGATGAACATGTCACCACTCTCACAAAGCCTGCCATCTGAACTACAACTCAACTCTTTCCCCCAGTCTCACAGTGAACACAGGAAACACCCACAATGTAATATCATGCATTGTTCGCTGGAAGAAGTGTAGTCCATGTGGTCTTGAGATATGGAGATTGCATCACATCGAGCAGCAGGGAAAGAGACACAAAGCACACTGGGAATCCAGGAAGTTGGTGAAAGTGATGGGCAGATGGAAGGCAGCACTCACTACATAAAAGGGATTTTTCCAAGTAAGTTTTAATTTTATTATTTAAAAAACAACTCTAGTATGTATTCCTATTACAATGCGGATGTTATAACAGGAGAGGATATGCTGGGACTTTAGAACTAAAATAACTGCATAATGATGATCACTGTCTTCTTTTTGGATTTGTGTTTTGTTTTATATGATGGAGAATGGAACTTGCAGAAAAGATCCCTCATGAGATTGCGGGGCAGAGCAGAGAATTCCAGTAGAAAGATTCTGGGAGATAAAAGAAGCCAGTGGGTTAGCTTACCAGGTTCCACCTGAAAGATTCCCTGTGGGTGGACTGACCCTCTAAACCTCATTTACGTTGGGTCACATTTATAAGTAAAACAAGAAATGTCTGCGCTGTCCATAGCTTCTAATCAATCTTCTATTCTCCCTCTCATTTCCTAGAGTGTCCTAATGATGTCTATCTGACAAATGGAGAAATGACACCCACTGTTGTGCAAAAAATGGAAACTTGGCATCTCTTACTTTGACGTGGTCTCCTCTTCCACCAGATCTTCCTGTAGTTGAACAAACACGTGTATCTGAAAACAAGAATATACATTGTATGAATATACAGGATTTGTGACAGCTCATGCAATCTCAAAGGTTACAGGGGCCTGTTGTAAACAGATTAGGAAAAACTTGATGTGTGCTGTTGAGTGTTGGCCGAGAGAGCCGCGGCCCGACCCGTCTACGTTCTGCCAGCACAGGGAAGTTTAATACCGGCTGCGGTATTTGGCAGCTAAAACAGACCTGTGTTTATTACAGTACATGCAGTCTGACAACATTACAGTAACACATTACCAGGGTTTAATTTGGCTTTAAGAAGATCTTCTGTCTTCTGCCTGATGGGTTTGAATGAATATGTACTATGTTATCACAGTAGGGGTGGCCAGGCTCCCTCACTGGCAATTTAGGGAAGAAGGATGATACATCTGATGCATCCTATGAAGGCAGGTGACATTTTTGGGCAGTTACTTTACAATGCTGACATCCGCCCCCCCTTGGTCTTGCAGTGATTAGATCATCTGGAAATAATCCTTCCAAATCCCTTGTTTCAGGCATATTAACAACATAAACTAACTAATGGTCTTTTGTGAATCCTGGTATAGCAAGCACAGAAGGACGGCTCATAAATAACACATTGAGCTTTAGGTAAAAGGTATCTGTAGTCCAAAACTAAATAGAAATTTGTGTTTCGATATTGAATTTCTATAAGTTCTGCACCATTCCTAATAACTATATCCATCTAGAAGTTTGTAATGTAAAGGTAGTTACTGAAGATGCCCATAGGATGGACTTCCTCATTGACACAATTTCCCTCAGCCCGGTGAATATGCACTACAACTCAAGGTTTGAACAATGTAACATTATCATTGCCTGCTGGAAGCAATGCATGATGGGATATGTAGACTTGAGAAATGGAGATTGCATCACAACGAGCAGCAGGGAAAGAGACGCAAAGCACACTGGGGGTCCATGAAGTTGTTGGAAGTGATGGGCAGACAGAAGGCAGCGCTCACTACATAAAAGGGATTTTTTAAAGTAAGCTTTGATTGTATTTTCAGAGACAAGTCCAGTATGTATTCCTATTACAATGCTGATGTTATAACAGGACAGGATATGCTGGGACTTTACAACTCCTTTAACTTGGAAACATCGGATCCCCTTGACATCTCTATACTCACCAATTCAGTCACCATAATCGGCCACAACGAGGTAAGGTGCTGCGGGGAAATTCTCAGAATCAAAACACGGAAAAACAGGAACATCTGAGCCGCCATTATAGCCGTCTGCCCCACGCGAATATTTTCTGTCAGACGTTCTGAAGGTAGCCAAAAATACACAGTATGTGATTTCATAGCAAAATGTTGCTTAATTACTGCAACTTTGTCATCAGAAACAAATTATATGGTTGAAATAGACAGATGTACAGAGGCGGGCTTATGGTAGTCATACTCCTGGATGTCAGATGGCGGTGGGGAAAGTACCTTGTATTAGAGGAAGATACAAATGGTACTGGTCCAGTTCTCCGCTGAAAACGGCAAAGCCCTGTCGCTTCTGTAGCATGGCCTTCTGCTCGCTGCTGGGGTACAGCTTCAGTGAACTGCTGGGCATGTCTATAGAAGAAATACAAAGAGGGAGATTGACTGAGCAAGTTCCAAATCAGATGCACTTCCAGTGCCAATCCAGCTGCCTCGCAACACAAACAGCAAAATAAACATATCTTCTAAGTCTAGGGTGGTGTTCCCTTTACTATTTTAATATAACACAATGACAGTGCACTTACTCATCAGATCCTTAAACATGGTTTTCTCGTGGGTCAAAAGGTGATCGATGATTGACTTCCAGCTAAAGAGTAAGAATAAAGATGAATCAATGAAGATAAAACCAAAATATTACATAATACAAGTACGCATCTTTGGGAATATGTCATGGGGCACTAAGGTGAATGTGGCTAAATGATTACTATTACCGCTATTAGGGATGCACCGATACTAGTATTGGTGCCGATACCGGATATTTGGGCGAGTATAAAACGCAAGGCTCTGCAGTACAGCATATTGATGGGAACAGATGCTGAGAAATAATGACTTTCCTGATGTCCATACATTTTGTTACAACTATAAATGCAGAAACACCCAGGACATTGCATTAGGTGGAAATGAGCTCTGAAACCTAAAGTGACCCTGTCATCTGCATACAGTGGTTCCTCCCTCTGGCCCCTATGTCACAATGGGAAACAGTAGTCATATATGAGCCAGTAGAAGCAACCACAGAATGTGGTGGGGACCCCGGCATCTTGTACACCTGGAAGTGTGCTGCATACCTCTCACCTTTTTGAGGCGAGAAGAGGGACTTTTTAGCACAATGTATATAGGCAAAGGACACAGCCGTGCTGCACCCCCAGTTACATAAACCACGAAGGATTAATATGCAACCAAATGATTGGTTAAAGGAGAACTATGGGGTTAAGGCTTTTCCCCATAGTTCTCCTTAGGGTAACGGAAGGACACAAACTAGCGTCCTCCCGTCACCCTGAGCTCAGTATACCGCGAGCTGTACTGAGACGCCGCAGCTGAAGCGGATCCCAACAATTGTGCCGGGATCCGCCCAGCTGTGGGACTGACAGCTGGCTCTGCCTATCTAGAGCAGTAAGCTGTACCCGCCCCCTCCCCCGTCTGTTCCGCCAGTCAGCACTGGCGGAGCGGGGAGGGGGGAATCCAGCCCCTCTCCTGTCACGGCAGAGAGCCGTGACAGGATCGAGAGGTGAGCGAACGCCGCTATGTGTTCGCTCACCTCCCGATCTACTGAGCCGACCTGTGACAGTCTCATTGTCACAGGTCGGCTACAACTATGAGGTGAGTGAAAAGCACTCACCTCATAGTTCTCCTTTATGCTCACAAATGCCTTTTTCAAGACTACTTTTCCTCAGAACCAGATTAACAAAATAAAAAATGCAAGAATTTAGAGGTTGAGGAAACGGTTTAGTGTACTATACTACTTTTGGTAGTTAAATAGTACATTTTATTTATAGAGGTGTATATATCAGACCAAAAACAGGGACAATGGAGGAGGAAAGATGGACAGAGGGATTTGGTTCTAGAAGTGGGACGGTCCGGAAAGTTAGGAAGAGTTGGGAGCTATGGTGCCTCACGTTTCCCCTGAATAGACAGGAGAATGTCCATGGGACAGGAATGTAGTAAAAGATTTCTTTTCCATAGAGTATGTCTTATTATTTTGCCTATGCTATGACAGGGTCACTTTATCCTTTATAACATACTACTTTATCTTATTTATACTATTTCATTCTCTTACTGAAGGCACGATGTGTCCATCTGAAAAAATCCTGGGTCCATGTACAAGTCGAGGACCTCCTTCTTCCAGGCTCGTTTGGTGTAGGCGTAGCCGCTGAGGCTGCTGAGAAGCTGGGCGCCGGCACGGAAACTCGGAGCGTTATATGCACTGGAATAACGAGACAATAATTAGGTAAGACAGGGAAACGGAAACTTTAGCTATCAATAGTATTTACTTGTCACTGTTCCGCTGTGCCTGTAGAGATAGTTGAAGTTACTATAATGTCCATTTTTATATGTTTACACTTTGTCTATGGCAGCGTTTTCCAACCTTTTTTCAGTCACGACACCCTTTAAAAGTATGAAAAATCTCAAGGCACCCTACTCTGAAATGTAATGGATTTGAAAGGGAAGCCATGCAAAAACACAAAACTAATGAGGCCCCCCTTTACAATAAAGTCCCCTCTTCACGCCAGGAGCCCCCTCCTATTATATTTAAGGCCCCCCTCCCACAATATGAACCCTTCTTCACAACACAGCCCCAGGGCCGGATTTACTCTCTGCTGCCCCAAGGCCAGGTTCCTCAAAGTGCCCTCCTCCCCGCCAACCCCCCCTCCCCCCACCAATGGAGAATGGTAACCAGATGGCGGGGCGGCAAGGTTGGTTTACATTTTTTTTATGACAAAAAAATAAGGAGAAGAGGTGGGGCTTCTCTGAGAGAGAACCACCATTCCTGCTATAAGAAGAGGCATCTGTATACAAGAACATGGTATACTAATTATGTTTGTCAAGGCCATCTAGCCTCACATTATAACTCTGGAATGGTTATTTGGAGATCAATCTGTTTTTCTTTTTCTGTTTTGTAATGTGCACATATCAATTAAGTTTTTAAACGTCTTTTAACCTTTGTATAATAAAATATTCTTGTTTTATCATGTGGTAATTTTTGGTCTTTGTCACTTGGTACCTAAAAAGCCCCACCTCTTCTTATTTTTTTTGACTTGATACATTAGGGGTGTGGCATCTTTTATTCAGAACCTGGTCACGATTATGTGACCTACATTTATTTATTTTTTTCTTTATTATTATTTTACTCCTTTTATCACTTTTTTTAAAATCTTTTACCTTTTTTATAATTTTCTCTTTAACGTCTCAGTGTTCACATGGAGCAGAGTGGAGAACGGACCTGCAGGCTGAATACAAGTCTTCTCGGCCGGGATCACTTGTACAAAACGAGTGGCGGCTTCCCTGCTGTACTAAATTTAGAAAAAAAACTACCAGCCTGTCACCCGGAACTGCATGTCCCGGGTGTCGGGCGATAGGAACTCCACACCCTTGCTGCACCTCTACTCCCTGCTACCCCGGGGCCCGGCCTTGGTGGCCTTGTGGGAAATCCGGCCCTGTACAGCCCCCCCTTCACAACACATTCTTCCCTTCACATCAAAAGCTCTTCCTTCACATCAGGAACATTCCCTGAGGAAGCCACACGGCACCCTGGTTGAGAGAGTCTGGTCTAGGGAATGCAGTTGCTTTGGTAAGTACAGGTGAAACTCGAATAATTAGAATATCGTGCAAAGTTCATTTATTTCACTAATGCAACTTAAAAGGTGAAACTAATATATGAGATAGACTCATTACATGCAAAGCAAGATAGTTCAAGCCGTGATTTGTCATAATTGTGATGATTATGGCTTACAGCTCATGAAAACCCCAAGAACCCCAAATCCACAACCTCAAAAAAGTAGATTATTAAATGCAATCAATAAAACAAGGATTGTACATAGAACAATATCGGACCTCTGAAAAGTACAAGCATGCATATGTACTCAGTACTTGGTTTGGGCCCCTTTTGCAGCAATTACTGCAATTACTTTTGCATGATATTCTAATTATTTGAGTTTCACCTGTATGTTATGTTAGCTCCACCGGGGCCATTTGAGGGCAGAGCATGGAGAAAATAGGTATGCCTTCACCAATGTGCATTTCAGAAACTATTAAAAAGCCATTGGGATCTCTGTTGGAACAGTGTGACATAATGAAGGAATGCTGTTGCAACTAGTGGTGCTTGCTCTACAATACTAATAGTTTATGTTATCACCCCCATTACTGGTTTACTTTACAAGTTACAAGAAGCAGTTTAGTTACATTACACAACACATTGGTAATTACAGAATGTTCAGAAGTGTCCGAGACCAGCCCGGTCTTCAGTGGGATTACCTGTGATTTCGCAAATAAGGAAAGACATGGTAGAGGAGGCGGGATATTAGTGGAACAGCTTTCTCCTTCTCATCACTTCTGTAAACCATGTCCAGCAGTGTGGCCAGGACCTTCACAAGAATAAAATGTCTGAATGAGATCTCTTAGAGGACATCAGCCTTTATATCATGCAGAAATGAGAGGCTCTGCCTTCCCCATGTTCAGGTGTCTGGATTGTCAGTCTGCCATTGTTTTTAAAACCTCAAATAATGGGATTTATGGACTGTTGAGGGACACAGGACATTTGGGTTATACTGCCACCAACAGTAAGATTGGACACTGGTAAACAAAAAAAACCCTGTAGGCCAGCCCTGGATAACCCCTCCTACTTAGATTTGTAGCAAAACAATACCAAGAGCATGATCATAAAACACAGAGAAGTAGGACCTGTGTCCTTCAATGGACTCCAATTAAAGGATTTTATGGTGCTTCCAAATTCCTATTTTAGGCTCCAGGTATGATTGGAAACTCTGCCAAGGAGATTTACCCACTTATTAGCCATAGATTATAATCTACCTTTTGTCTTTCCGAAACTTAGAAACTGTGCCAAAAATACCAATTCACACTCTGATGTAATATGCTTATGAAATGTATATACAAAGGGTTGTCACATCCCATATTATATACACCCATCTTCTCATATCATCTATTATTCCAGCTTTCAGAACGGAGGCCACCCACATAGATTGCTTACCAGACTTGTGGCCAGTGCCACCGTCGTACAGAACATAAAGAGACCCTGTGACGTCTCTAAACAAATCAAAACACCTAGGGCCGACTGACTTATTGAATTGAATCATATTGATTGAACATATGCAGTGGGGCTGCGCTGGCCGCGGTTTCCATTGCAGCCCCAACGCAAGACAATGCAATCTGCCTAGTCACGAAGGGGCTCGGTTCACACCACCACACTGCAATGGGAACGTGGTGGTGTGCGCTGAAAAAAAGTACGGCATGCTGTACTTTTTTCAGAGAAGCAGGATGCAATGCGGAACTCCCCCCCCCCCTGTTGTGCCCATAATAGAACTAAATTAAATGTCACTTGCATTGGATTTACTAATAAACCTGCAATCAGACAGTAATGAGAGAGGAAATCGCTCACCTCTGCAAGCATGGAGAGGGCGTGCACACTGTAAACAGATGGCGCAGAGGCGGAGACCATGGATGACTGCGCTGCGGCATTTTCCTCTGTGTGGAGAAAACATATGCAATTTATTCATGATATATATAACAGAAAGGAACAGAACTTAACCCAGAATTCCTTAAAAGGTCTCTCCTGATACCTTCTTGCATATGACACATATGAAAAATGTTTGAACCTTTAGGAATCAAGGTACGGTGTGGCGTGTTGTGTTTTAAATAGGATTGTCTTTTGTTCAAAAAGATTAGGCCACATTTTTGGAACGATTCAAGCAGAAGTGCAAAAGACTCCTGAGGAGCAACAACTGTATATTAAGACAGAAGACCACAACTAGTTGTAGTACATGAGCTAAGTCAATCCTGAAAAAGTAGCACTGAAAAAAAGGCTGAAATGACTAAAAATCATAAGACACATTCTTCAAAACATCACAATTGATAAAATTTTAGTATAATATCACTTGACAATGGAGTATGCGCGGCAAATGGGGTGTATTAAGGGCCTGCGTTGATGGACTTTGGGTTGATGGCATCAGTTTGAGATGATTCTGATACCATGAAGAATTCATTGACAGGTGCATTTGACCTGCAGTTGACCTGCTTCAAGCAGGTTTTAGATTCCCATTGACTTGTATGGGAAATTTAAAATCTGTTTGACATTAACAAAAGCCCTTTTAGGCCCGATGCAGACCTCCGTGATCGCGCAGTCCTAAACAATGCAGGCAGCAATTGCAGAAAAAAGGTACATGTACCTTTTTCTTGCGATACACGACGCGCGGCTGTTTTAGCACGGGCGGAATCGCGGCTGGAAACCGTGCGACTGGGGTGCCATTAGAAAATCATGGCACCCACAGCGCGATCGGCCTTCCACACAGGACCTAAAAAATAAAAACCATGTTAAAGATTCCATCATCTTACCATACTGCTCTTCATCACCATCCGCATCATCCAGAGAAACTTGTGGCTGGGCCTTCACCTCCAGGTTCCTGCTCAGCCAGCTAGTCTGTTCTAAAGAGGAGCCGGCCACGTTTCCCACCGACTCCAGGATCTTCTGTGTCACCTCCTGTAAGGGTTCACATGTGATCAATGGAGGATATTTAACTTGTGGTGGCACATGTATGAACTGATACCCATGAATGATATGGATAGAAATGGCAGATCTTACATTGGTGCTTTATGTATGCTATTACGCATCAGGGAAAAGCGGACAGGACACATGGGAAAATGGTGGAGCAGGGCAGGGCTGCACAGTGCCAATCAACATTGTTATGAATCACGCCAAGGTGCGAGGTGTCATCCTTGACTCGGACCTCACCTTTGTTCCCCACATCCAATCACTATCCAAATCCTGCCACCTACACCTTTGTAACATCTCCAAAATGAAACCGCACCAATGAAAACGCAAAACTACTCATCCACTCCCTTGTTATCTCTCATCTTGACTATTGCAACTCCCTCCTCATTGGCCAACCTCTACACAGGCTCCTCCCCCTTCAGTCTATCATGAATACAGCTGCCAGACTAATTCACCTGACCAACTGCTCAGTGTCTGCAACCCTCCTCTGCATGTAATAATAATAATGTGTTCTCTACATCACGTGACATTTCAGGACTGAACAGTAGTGGAGCTTTCAGTGAATATGTGCTTTGCAGGTTTCATCAGCACAGACAGACATCATGGTTCTCTAATGGCTTACCTGCAGATCCTTCTGGTCTTTCTTGCTCTCTAGGTTTGGAGTCCTGGTTACAAAGTCATTCAACATGCTGGAGGGAGACATACATATAGCATAAGATACCCGGATACATACATGTCGTCTTCTGACGTGACCTACAGGTGCTGGAAATGTAGTATCATTATTGTCATAGGATAACATATTCCAAAGGGCGCAGGAAGGACACGAAAACCCATCTTGGTAGTGATGTAGCAATGGTACCAATTAGGTTACTCACTGAATGTCTTAAGGGAAAGAGTGCCGTGCAACTCAAGTGGAAATCATCAAACTATACAGAGAATTTCTTTTTACACAGTAGATAATAGTAATTTGTCACATTGTTAGTTTTATAGATTAGATTAGGGAAGGGAAAAAACACTCGTCTGTTTATTTTTTTGCTTTCTACAGGTGTGTGCTTATTAAAAAATCATTAAGTGAATTTTTAAAAGTAACTAGTGTAAATACTTGACCTGGTATAAGCCTCTTCCAGTCCCCGTACAGCAGAGCCCAGACTGGAAGAGGGAGAAGTAGCACAAGGAGCCAATCAGCTGTGCTGCAGTGGTCATGTGCTTACAAGTAACATGCTGATAGGAGGTGAGGGCAGAATGACAGAGATGAGCTCATCAGTTTGCTGCTTCTCCTTCACTGTCCAGTCACAGGCTGGAGGAGGGGACCTAGTTCTATTACTTAACTGCAGTAAGGAAAAAAAGTCAGGGTCTCCAGGCTGGCTGGACTGTGTGGCAGAGCTGTGTAAATCTCAAAACTGGATGGTCAGAAATATAAATCCTTTAGCAGGCAAACCAGCTCCCATATATGTGACACTAACCTCAGAAGAAACTCTTAAAAATACATTCAGGTACCATAACTATTAACAAAAATGTATCTTATTTGTGTGTCACTCGGCTGTAGATCCTCCAATCATCTCTGAATTGGTGCTGACACTGTCCTTCCTTCTGGAGGGGGGCTACAACACACACAGGGATCATGGGGGACTGTGATAGGAGGCTGAGCGGTGTGGGAGGAGCGACACTGGCTGCTCACAGCGCTCTCCTCCCGCAGCGCTCGGCCGGCTGTCACACTTTCTCTCCTCCCCGCTGGGCCACAGAGCAGCGCCCAGCGGGGAGGAGAGAAAGCAGGGATGCACAGCTGTATCGGCAGGAAAATGGCACTTTTGGCATTATGCTAAAAGTGCCATTTTCGGCCGATATATCGGTGCATCCCTAACAATCACAATGTAAATTAGTAACTTAAACATGAAATTGTAGTCCATCACAGGAGTGAGCTTGGAGCGAGTGATACACAGATAAGATACATTTTTGTTAATAGTTAAGGAACTTGAATGTATTTTTAAGATTTAAAGGAGAACTTTGAGGTGAGTGAAATTCACTCACCCTCATAGTTTGAGCTGACGTGTGACAATGAAACTGTCACATGTCGGCTCAGTAGATCGGGAAGTGAGCGAACACATACCGTTGCTCGCTCACTTCTCGATCATGTCCCTGCTCCCCGCAGGGATTCCCCCAGCGCTGAGTGGAGGAATGGACAGGGGAGGGGGCGGGCACAGCTGGCTCTGCCTCTAGATAGGTAGAGCCAGCTGTCACTCACGCAGCTGGGTGGATCTGGACAGTAATGTCGGGATCCGTCCCGGCTGCGGTGCTCTCAGTATACCGCGAGCTGTATTGCGATATATTGAGCTTTGGGTCACGGAAGGACGCTAGTGTATGTCCTCCTGTGACCCTAAAGGGAACTATGGGGAAAAACACAGTTTATTGTCACTTTAATTATTCAACTATTTTCCTGGAGTTCACCTTTTAAACATTCACCAGCAGTATAGAGAGGAAGTAGAATCTACCTTAAGAGAAGGAAATAACCAGGTGGTGCCAGATTGAGAGAAACGGATTCCTTTAGCAGCGTCAGTAACGGCTGGAAATTTTCCTGCATATCAGACGGAGAAAGTCTGAAAGAACAATAATGAAAATCACGTTACATCCTTGACTCGCACCCATCCACTTACTGTAGTACTGCTTCACCCAAAACCCACGACTGGAATTGTCCTCAATAAAAGTCTGCATTGCAGCACATAGCTTGTGATACCAGCCTCCCCCTTGTGACCGTAGAAAGTCCTGAAGGATATGAACACTGCACTGGACCTGTATCGGCCAGGCAGCCGACACAGACCTCCTAATAAAAGGTATATTTATTTTTTAGATATATTTTTTTATTGAAACATAAGAGCAATCATAATGACAACTTAATGAGAAAACAGGAGAACATAAAATAAAAAATGAATAAAATAAAATGCATAGGACATTACTATCATGATTATCACAGAGCAAAAAAGATGAAAGAAATTGTTGTATTCGTACAAATATCTCACCCGCACGTAGAATTAAAAGCAAAGTGCAAAATAAAACGAAATCAAATGAAACAGCAGTAAAAAGTGTGTGCCGCATTGTACTGAAATGCATGCTATCCCATGGGGCCAAGAACTTGAACAAAGCATTAGGTGTACTGGCCAATGACTCACAACCAATAGTCAGAGAGCAAAGGTTGATTAAATGTCGGGTGAGATCGGGTCACAAGTAGCTGAGCTGGTAAGCCATCTGTCCCAAATGTTGTTTTCGTTAGTGGAACATCCCCTGTGTTTAAAGTGACATTAAACCCCCAGATTTTTTAACATAAACCAATACTGTAATGTGTGCCTTACTGTAATCCATGGTTGTTTCCCTTCTCTTTGCTGCTCTTCTTTTTAAATCTGTTTCTCTTCTCATGCTGGGCAAAACTTCTGTTTTGCAGCAGACTGCCTTGTCTCAGGAATGGATACACGGTGTCTGTGTGTAGGTTTGCAACCTGAGCCAGCACTACAGGAAGAGGCACTCAGCTGCAAAGGGAAGTTCTCTCCAAGCATGAGAAGACATGAGGATTTAAAAGGAAGAGCAGCAAAGAGAAGGGAAACAACCATGGATTACAGTAAGGCACACATTACAGTATTGGTTTATGTTAAAAAATCTGAGGGTTTAATGTCACTTTAATATTAATAATTAGGTATAAATTACATTTTCATATTAATGTGATGAACTCGTTAAAAAAAAAAATAGTGATTGCATTCTTAACAAAAAAGGAACTGAACTCTGGAAGTTGTGCCCAAAAAAGCAGAGGGCAATGGACTAGTTGCCAGTATTGCCTGTGGTCTCCATGCAGCTGATCTTTCCCCATTACTGAATTACCATGTTTTTTTTCTTCATATCTCTACAGGTTGAACTTGATGGACTTGTGTCAACTAACCGTGTAACTATGTTCTGCACTATGTCTCTGTATAGAGGCAGCCATCTTGGGAGAGGCAGAGCTTTGCTTCCTCATGTCAGAACTTCAGCAAAGAGAACAAAGAGCTGCACAGTAGTGACATCTCCAAATTTGGTTAACTGTCAGAGGCAGCAGCCCCTTAGATCTCACACTGCAGATATATAGCTATGAGGATGTAGGCCCATGACTGCCTAGGCACCCTCACATACCAGGAAGTGCAGTGCTATTCATGGTACATGTGTAGGGTACTGCTTAGGCACAAGCCTAAGATAACAACATCTTCACAATCAAAAGCTTACTAAGCTAAATCCCCAAAAACTATTGTCCGGATTACAAAAAAATTTAGCTATTCCAACAGCATGGAAATTTCAGATTGACAGCACTTTGGCAGAATTAAACTTTCATTACCACTTTCTAACATATATTATGTCAGTAATGCATCCACTTCATTTGTGTTACCTTTGTATAAATGCGTAGCTGAACTGCAGCATGGGAATATCGACCAATGAGGACTTCTGGGGAAGAAAGACAGGAAAACATGAATGAATTAGGATCGCTGGGTCTGTCAAGGGAAGGTGATGCTGAAAGATAACAGGAATGGCCTACACCGGCAGTGTTACCTCTTCTCCTTTTATCTGCGGAGGCTTTTTGACAACCTCCTTGACCAGCTGCAATATGGTGTCAGTCTTCAATGTCTTTAGAGCACAGACGAGGTCCACTAATGTCAGCTGAGAGTCACTGGGTACTGGTATGATCTGCAGGAAAGAAAATGGAACTTTAAATGGATCCATGGAATTTGGCATGAGAATTCTGCAAATGCTGAACACTTTCCAGGTCGCTGGCCCTGCTCTCCTCTTTTCTGTCTTATGAGCCTTACTACTGGCATTGTGTGGGGTGCTTTACTAGTGAAGGCAGGAAAGGAGTACATAAGAGCCAAGAACCAGAAATCAGGTTTGTATTTCATTTGCAGAGCGAACTGTGTTTTGGAGGGCCACAGAAAATAGAAGTTGGGAAGAGGCTGTCTTATAAGCCTTACTACTGGCATTGTGAGGGGTGCTATACTAGCGAAGGCAGGAAAGAGTACATAAAGAGCCAAGAACCAGAAATCGGGTTTGTATTTCATTTGCACAGCAAACTGTGTTTTGGAGGGCCAGAGAAAATGGAAGTTGGGAAGAGGCTGGTCAGGGATGGACTACCAGAGCTTTGGATGTTTGACTCCATAATAAATGCTCTTTGGCCTGACCTAAAATATGTATTCTGTTTTGGTTCAGCCCTGCTTGCAGCATGCTTTCTTTCCCATGGCAATGCCAGGAGGTGAGACAGGGTGCGGGCATATGGCTGACGCTGGTGTTGGTAAGCAAGATGGTGAAGGAAAAGGACAATTATACAGAGCCGTAAATCTATAGGAACAACTTTAATTATCCCACTTAAGCTGCTCATAACACAGATGCCAGTCAGGCATGATGCATGTTCATATGGACGTGGGGAAAGTCATATGCTTTATATCTTGACTTAGTCTTTGTTTTGATAGCCATAGGCATCCAGTTTTGGTAAGCGACATTAAAGCAGATTGATCTTAGCAGGGAACATTTGCCAGCACATATTTTCAGGGCCCAGGAAGACTCTGCAATCAGTAGAACAGAAATGAAAAACATGCTACGAGTTACCTTGGATTTACTCTGAGCCTTGTTGAACCTCTTCCTCTTCCAGACAGCAGCAACAGCCGCTATCAGCTGAACCCCCAAATGTCCCGTCAGTGGATTCAGAAAATCTAAAACTTTCTGCTTCAAAGTCTGTAAACAAAACAGTTCAAGTTCTAAATCAATATCAATGTATGGAATTGGTTCACATCAAGTGAACTACAGCATGCTCTACATTAGTGGTTCTCAACCTGTATAATCTCAGGACCCACATTTGTCCCTGGTCATTAAGTCGCGACCCAAGTCGCACCGCACTGGAACGCATGGCATTGCAGTACTGCATGTTCTAGTGCAAACTATCAAATTGTGGACGGGAGGTGTGTTTGTGGTGCCATTCAAATGAATGGCAACGCAATGCACCTACTGCACCAATACGAACAGTAGGAGCGATTTCGTGGTAGCCTGTTATTAAAACACTGACAGACACACACAACCACAGACACAATCTCACACACTCACAGACATACACACTCCATCCATATGTGCATTGCTTGTACAGCTCCCTTGCACTTCCTGTAGAGGTGTCGGGAGTCAGAATGTGACATCACTCCAGTCATGCAAGGGAGCTGTAAGCAATGCACATATGTATGGAGGTCCCTTGCAGCCATACCCCCAGGTCACCCCACCTCAAGCTGACACAAGGCACCAGGCAGAATATTTTGAATGGCTGCTCGGCGTAAGAAATTACCTCATGCGGGAGGCTAAGGAGCCTCTCACCTAGTGCACTGGAAGGAATGCAGCGACCCACTGAACATGGGGTCACGACCCACCAGTTGAGAACCACGGCTCTACATGCATAAAAAGGAAATCAAACAGGGAAAGGCTGCATGGAATGGATTTCAGTACAAGGTCCCATAGATACATAGGCCCCATAGATACATAGGCCCCTCTCATAGATACATAGGCCCCATAGATACATAGGCCCCATAGATACATAGGTCCCATAGATACATAGGTCCCATAGATACATAGGTCTCATAGATACATAGGCCCCATAGATACATAGGCCCCATAGATACATAATTAATAGCACAGTGTTCATTACAAATTATATGCATTAGAGAATGATATTGTTTTTTCTTACTTTGGTGGTTTTGAAATAGACAGATGAAGAAGCTTTAATAGTCCCCAGAAGATCGGAGGGCCTCTTCTCTCGCTCCTGCTTGGTGATGACACTCCAGAGGAGGGAAAGACTATTGACAACACGTGGAAGTTCTTCAAGTAGGGCGTTACGAGCGTTCTTCAGATTAGCTGGGTCAGATGCTGAGGACTAGGAAGAAGATACAAGACAAAATAGATTTTTATATCTCAATGGCACAGATCTCAGAGCTAAAACAAGGAAAGGAGACTATTAATGAGGCTGTTGTGTTTGCTCATAGCAAGCAATTAGAATCGTATTATATTTTATGTTCTTTGCGTATAGGAAAAATGACAGCTGGGATTAATTAGGTGTTTGGGGGAAGGGGGAACCCACAGACAGAAGGTGTTCATCGCCAAAACCTGCCTTCTAAAAGGCCTGTGTTGATAGGCTTTGGGATTCTGTCAAGGGGCAGCTCGCTTTAAGCTGCATCCAGATACTGATATCAGTAGGAGACACTTCTGAGATCACACATAGTACAATGACATGTGCATTGGCCTGTAGCTGATCTCCTTCTAATCTGTATTTGACCTGCTTCTAAGCTGCATCAAGCTGTTTTTTTAATTCCTATTGATCTGTATGGGGAGAGAAGCATACGCATACAGAAGCTGGTGTTAAGAAACAACTATTGACACAACCCCAATTGGTAAAGCCCAGCTTGTCTATGGAAACTCTGAGATCCTCGCAGATATCCTTTGGCCAACCAATCACGGAGGAAAACTGTCTGTTTGAGATGGATTTTTGAGGATAGTCGCTATTGCTCTTCTGAGATATGGCTTGTGACAGGAGTGTCAGCTGAGTAGGTAAATATGCATTTCAGTAAAACATGTTTATGTCAGGATGTTTCTGTAAAATGGGTGCAAGGGTCAGATTTCCTAACACTGGTATGTTTATGGCTAGCCTTCACGGACACATTCATTTTGCATGCTTATATAGATGAGGCCAATTTGGTGACAAACATGAAAATTGAATTTATTTTAAAGAGACACTGTCACCCATCCACGCCCCTTCTCAGCCTCCAACTTGCAGGAGTTCACCCTGAGTAAGCGCCAGTGCCCAAGCTTACTTGGGTGAATAACGTCAATGCTCCCACTCCTCCATGTGACAGTGTTACCGTGCGGCTCAGGTACAAGCACAGTAACATGTGGCTTACATGCTCCCCCCCCACCTGAAAGCCTTTCTCCATTACAGCAATAGAGCGAGGGCTCCAATGGAGTGGAAAGAGGTGAGGGAGAGAGGATGGGTGAGTATACCTTGCTGGGGGGGGGGGGCTGAGATATCAAAAGGCACCGTCACTTCGCTCATATCAGCTAAAGTGACAATATCTTGTTAAATCTGTACTCCAGCAAGATATACATTATTAGAGAGAAATTAAATGCATTATTTAATGAGGCTATGTGTTCATTATATGCATAAATAAATACAACTAGTGTAAATACCTGCCTTTGTGATCAGTCTCTGGTAATTGCCTGTATGGCAGCACTCAGATTGGAAAAGGAAAGAACAATACTCTGAACCAATCATGCTTTGGGATACTGCACTGACAAGGAATATGCTGACAGAAGAAGGGAGGTAAGAGAGGTGACCTCATCAGACTGTTGCTGCTCGTTCACTGTCCAATCACAGGCTCAGAGGTCACTAACATGTCTATGCTGCCTGTCTGAATCTCAGGATTGGCTAGACAAATACATAGGAAGCTAGGAAGGTATAGCTATGAAAATTACTGGCTGTGATAGTTTCTATCTACAGAACAAAAACAAATGTTAGTTATTTTTATTACTTGCAGACAAAAAGACAAATGAATAAAAACAATACCTTCTTTGTCTGCATGGGATGATCCAGAAGGCAGAAATGACCAATGTTGGTAAGACCCTCCAGTAGTGTGAGTGGGTAATCGGGGGAGATATTCTCTCGTTTACAAGGTGTGCTGTTATGAGAAAATAAGAAAAACCCAATAAAATCTTCAGAAATGTTAAGTTACAACACCCATCATCCCCCCGCATCTCCCACAGTATGCTTGTAAAAAGAAACAGAAGCATCCGACTCTTGTTGCAATGCTGGACAGACTGGCGTTATGTTGTTATGGTGTGCCAGGATATTGCATTTTTCCAGCCGGTGTTGCTAAGAGTAAAATCTGTATTTATATCTGAAAGTTAGGTTAAAACTTGGACTGGAAAGTGTTAAACCAAAATGTTTTTTGTTTTTTTTGTGATAGGGGTTTTAAACCCTCTCCACCCTATCGGGTTATTTTTTTTTCTCTTTCTGTTGTTTTCTTTGTTCTGCTGAGGAGATTTCCTTTTGTGATGCTACAGGAAGTGAAAAGAAACCTCCCCAAGATGAGGGAGATTTCCCATCTTAAGCCGGGTATACACGCTTCGAATTTCGGCTGCCTGAAATTCGAAGTGTGGGTGCCGCTGTTGTAATCACCTTCCCGACCAGCATCCCTTGATCAGCTGATCGAAGGAGCATGTCCAAAAATTCTTGGCTGAACAAAGGCAGCAGTCAATAAGTTGCTTGCTCTGTTTGGGTATTCTGACAGAGGCCAGAAGCCGCTGTCAAAATACAATGTAAACAGCGGGAGATTCATCGATCATAGAGGAATCTGTTCTATTTTCTTCCTTCAGCCTGCAGGTTGATAAAGAAAATAGAAGCGTTTAAACCCAGCTTTAGACAGTTCTCACCAAAAAGTCTGTCCCCGCTGGAAGATGCCACCGCACCAGTTACTCTAACAAAAATTTAGGATTTCCCCTTACTCTCTTGTCTCCATGACCCCTAATTGTTACCAATAGGAATACTCTCAGGTTCGGATTGAACCCGGGTCTAAACCTGAGCTCCTCCGGACCTGGAAGGGACATGGGACCACCTGCCCAATCAGCTGCAAGCTGGGGCATTTCCCATTCCGCAACTGCACATAAACAAAGGGGTGGGGTGCTTGTGGTAACATCGTTAACTCTATGGCCGCACAGCCATATTAAATCATTGTCATTGACATCACTGCATCCCGCCCCTTTGCTTACTTGAAGCTGCAGGCAGGGAATTCCTCAGCCGCAGGTGAATGAGTGGCAGCGAAAAGAGCTTCCTTCTGGATTCTGAGGAGCTCAGGTTTGGTCTGGCCCTAAGCTCATCCCTAGTCACCAGGATAAATAGATTAAGTGTGATTTGTGCAGCGCTAAATGTGAAAAATTAAGTAAAAATAAATAAATATCCCTATCTGAACATATGTAATTATCACAATATAAGTAGTACTCCGTGTATATATAATGCAAACCTTAATACAGTGGTGGTGATAAATCTCTAATTAAATAACCACAGTGTAAAAAAATTCCTTATCGAGGATAAATAGATTGGTGCATCTGCCCAGTGGAATTCAAGTAGATTCCATCACACTCCAGACCGGATATAACCCAAGATAATGGGTGGGTGCTGAGATGACAGCAGATGTCTCTGCCGATCAGTATCACATAGTAGAAAAGTCACTCGCACTCCAATGAGAATTTCAGTCTGTGTTCTTTGTTGACAAAAGAATTGTCACATCGTACAGGCATGAGTAAAAACTTGGCAGAGGGTCCAACTCTGCAACACTCTATCCAAAACTAAAAAGTTTTGCTTTTAAATACACTTAAAAGGATTTCTATAGGAATGGTTCAAATGTAACCCCACCCTCCCTCTTTCGATTATGTCCATGAATTCATTTTTTATTTCACCTTATTATTTTATTATTATATCAAGAAACAGATTTTTATAACTTCCTGTGACGTCATTAAGGCTTGTAAATTCTTACTGCTGGAAGCCTAGTTCCTATTGACATAGACACGCTCTCAGAACTACATTTCCCAAGAGTCTTTCCCCAACATACAGTGTGTGAGTAGACTCTTTGTAGTTGAGGCAGCACCACTGTTTTGTTGAGAAAGAAATGTATGAATGCATATTGAGAGGAACAGAGGGGATGGGGGATACATTGGGTTTAAGGAATTTGGAGCACACTGGATTTCTGGCAGATCAGCATTTATTGTTAGGTACTTGTTGCTTTTTAAAGGGATAAAACATGGGGAAATGTGGATGCATTGCAGTTTGTACAGCATATTTTTTTTATTGCCCTGATATACACAGAATATGGAGGAGGTAAGTTAAAGAAGGGAGAGAGCACTTAGGGTGGACACTTACAGTGTGCCAATGTTGACTACTAAAAGCAGACTACCGCTCAATAAGTAGACAGGATGTGGGGCAATGTGGCCGGGAATGCAAGGCTCTGAAGTGGTTGTGTCATCCTTTAAGCACCCATTTATACAGCCAAACAGAACATTACATTTTCTACAACTGTCTGAACTCCATATTTAGTGGTTTGGCTTTACTTTCCACAAAATTGATGACTATAAAAAAATTCTCCTCTATGGAAGCTGTCTCAAAGTGACAAATATAAAAGATGAAAAGCTGCTGTGCTAATAGTATAAGAGCACAGAGTTGAGGAGGAAGTTTTTACTGCGAGTGGAGGAGCAAACGTTCACTGTGATTGCGATCCGGGATTGTTATGCCCGTCTCTGAATATGGAAGTCTTGTGAGTGCGGTGTGTTTCACAGTCACCGGGAGTTTGCGCAGTACAGCTATAAGAAGGAATTATCACTGATGGTTATTTACATCTTGGCACTTTGGCACAATTTTTTTTGCAGCAATTAATGGTGGACTTTATAATGAACAATTTGCACTTACGGTAATCTCTACTGGAGATATTACAATGAGAGACACGTTTTACTATGAGAATGTATTAATTATATTGGTTATATGTGATTTATTTAATATCTAGCACTTTATGATTCACGTATTATGATTATTGATTAGCGCAGTGCATCTGTTCGATTTCATTTCCACAAAATTACCAGTCTAAATATGACATTTAATAAAACAACAACAAAAAATATAAATGAAGTATATGTGTAAACACACCTAAACTTACCTTATTTTTACGGACTCGTTTTCATACTGCTTCACAAGTTCATCTATGTTCTTGCATATTTGTGCAACAAATGGAGCGACAGTTAAACCCAGCGATTTTCCAAAATAAGGCAAGGAGGATGTGACCAGGGCCACCCAGGGTGGGTGCATTCCATAGCCATACTCAGGGCGCAGCGCTCTTACAACAGCAGAGACAAACAAGCCTTGGGACGTGATTGCATGGGACTGTACATACTGCATAGCATTTATAGACTGCTGGAAATTTACCCCCCGATGCCATTCCTTCGAGAGGTCCACTGGTGAGTCTTGGTCTTCTTGAAGTTGACGTAGGTGATGTTCAAGAACAATCAGAACCTGGAGCAGTTTCAGAAGCTCAATTTGAAGAGGATGTTCACTCCAAATCTGGTCCTGACCAAAATTAATGACACTCTCTTCAAACAAGCCTTCGTCTCCTAGGTCTCTGTTTCCACCAAGTGACAACAGTTCATATTTCTTCTGACTCGTGTACATAGAAGCAGACAAAGACAGAAGGACAAACTCTTGGACTTTGCACCTCTCAAGCAGGCTATAGATGAAGTTAACATTTTTACCATCTGAGTTCTTGGCCACTGTGGCCAGCTGAGACATCATCCTAATAAGAACTTCCACACTCTTTACTTGTACATCCCTATTGCCAAGGACATCCCTATGACTGACTTTGAGGTAACAAGGGTAATAGGAACGTAGGAAGCTTAGGCAGAGGTACGTTAACAGTTCAATAAGCAAAGAATGAGGACACATTGATGGGGACTGCGTCTGAAGCTTGCCATAAAAGCTTTGTCCAACTAGGGCCTCCTGATGGCGTGCAAGAAGGTTGTAAATTAAGTTGAGGTGTGCGGTGGAGCTGGTGTCCATGCTGGTACTAGCTACAGCTTCAATGAACTCCTTTGGATTGGTTTTGAGAACAGCTTCCAAAACAGAGAAGGCATACAAGACCCTCTTGGAGTCATAGGGTTGCAAGTAGAGGAGGATATGTTTGAACAAGGCCTCAATCATCTCCTCTTTCTCTTTTTGCTGTTTCAGAAGTTTGGTGCTTCTGATTGCCTGAAGCTCCACTTCTGCTTCATCATCACTAGAGAGAGATTCTGAGGTCTGTGTCGCATCAGACTCGGTACGTACCAAGTTTAACAATGCATTAGGTCTAGCTGCATTCATAGATGTCATGTTTGGCTGCCCGGGAGGCCTAGAAAAACCTTGGCCATCAATGTTGTCACTGCATGCTTGGTCATTACTGATGTCTACAGAGCTAGGGGTGAATAAAGAGGAGTTCTCACTAGCGCTTTGCCCAATGCTGGTGTCTGCAGATTCTGTGTGTTCACTGTCCTGCTGGTCGTTGTCCCCACAAAATGGAGGCTCAGTGTTATCTGGGACCCATTCGTTCTTTATCTTTTCCGGATCCTTCTCAACCTCAGCCCAAATGGCCTCTCTGTCAACCGTGTTAAATTGGGGGAAGTTTTCTTCAGAATTACTCTCTGGAATTTCCTGAATTCCTACGGCATCCTTCAATGAAGATCTTTTCCTTCTGCACCAGTAGCTGATTTCTTCTACAGGTAAAGTAAAAGATAAATGAAAGTATTGTTTGGCGCATGTATCTTAATTTAGACATCCATTAAAGACCATTCTGTGTGTTCAAAAAGGTCCCGGTTCACTAGAATTAGGATTATTAAGTAAACATTTGTCTACAAATCTCCCTGCTTCTTTCATTTTTTGGGGTCTGTGCTTCCCACACCTCTCCTGCTGCTTCCTTACTATTACTCCACCAGTCATCAGATTACCAGTCATTAGTGGGCCGCACTGACATAAGGAAGCAAAGCCCTGCCTCTAGCAAGGTGGCACCCCAAGGAATGGTAAGTCAGTAATGGGGAAAGATCCGCTACAGGAGAGACCAATACTAGCTACTAGTCCTTAACCCTCTGCTTGCACTTCCTATGGGAGAGCTGTACTCATGGTGGCCTCCAGAGTACAACTCTCTTACAGACATGAATAGGGCAGCTGCACACATGTGCACTAAGAAGAGGAGCCGATAGAGACATTTTGTGAATGACAGTGAAAATCAGTGGAACGGGGAGGAAGTCCAGTATGTAATCAGGCAGGGTACACTCAAATGGGTTGCGGGGGACTCATTAAAAGATAACCTGTACTAAAAGTACAGTCCATCAAGCCAGTGGTTCTCAACCTGTGTAACCTCAGGACCCACATTTGTCCTCAGTCATTAAGTCATGACCCAAGTCTCACAGCACTGGAATGTATGGCACTGCGGTACCGTGCGTTCCAGTGTGGGTGATCGAACTGTGGGTGGGAGGTGCGTTGGGGTGCCATTCAAATGAATGGCAATGCAACACACCTCGCACACCAGCATAAGCTGTTGGTGCGATTGCATGGTAATGTGTGTTAATCGCACAGGACTGTGCAATTAACGCACTGTACTAGTGTGAACAGGCCCTCAAAAACACTAACAGACACACACAATCACAGAGCCAATCTCACAGACACACTCCCAAAAAAATAACATGTTTGTTCTTTTTTTAAGATCCACCCAGTCTCCCTACCTTACAAGAACTGGAGTGGATCCTCCAGTGTGGGCAGCTGTGCTGCGACAGAGCTCCATTCATATGTACAGCTCACTCACGTGCCCTATAGAGGTGCCGGAAGCCAGAATGTAGTGTCACGCTGGCCAAGGCACCTCTACAGGACACGTGAGTGAGCTGTAAGCAATGCACGAATGGATGGAGCTCCTTCACGGTCATAGCTTCATCCCACCACACCTCAAGCTGAAGACTCTCACCTAGAAAAGTGGAAGGCACGCGGTGACCCACTGAACACGGAGTCACGACCCACTTTTGGGTCACGACCCACCAGTTGAGAACCAAGGCTTTAGGCAAATACAATTTAAAAGAAAAGTAATACTTGCTGAATTAATGCCATCAAAAACCTCGACAGGGCTGGCAGCTGTATAATATACCTGAGGAGTTCTTCTGCTTAATGCAATAGATAGATGTTCTCTGTGTCTTTGGATGGAGCAGCAACAATAATATGGGTTCCAGAATCCGAGCAACGTCATTCAAAGAGAGGGCCCGAACCAGCCAGCCCTGAGCGGCTGCGCCGATAGCTCCGTCAGCGCAGTTCAAGCTGTCGAGGACGACAAACAGGGACCTGCAGAGCAGAACAAATGTAATTAACAAATAAAGGTGGCTACAGCCCAAATCACCTACTGCTGGCTCATTCATTATTTTTTATATGCAAATTTCCATTTCCTTCCAAAAATGCTACTTCCCTGTCTGTGATATGAGCTCCCTGGCTTCAATGCTTTCTGACACGAAACAGGTTTGCTAGTCAGGAGTTTGGATTTCAGTTCCTGAGTTTACTTGCTGAATGCTGGTTCAGAGGTCAGTCATATAAAAAGTCCTGAAGCCAAAGACAGCCAGGTACCTAGTATTACTTAGAAAGGAGGGCAGCAATGGCACACTGTATACTTTTATAAATATTGCTTCCAATAAACAATGTGAAATTCAGATCTGTGGCAAAACGAGTCTGGCAAATGTGACTCGCCATCCTTTATTTGTAATATATCATAGAAACACTGATGAAAAACAAATGGTAGTCATAAAGAAAAAGAGGCCTAGACATTCAGACTAAAACATAGGCCTCCAGAATTGGATTCTTAAAAACAAGTAATGATCTTATTTGCATTTTCCTCACCTGTCAAAGGATCGGTTGTGAGAAGTGACACGGCTGCCTTGTATTTCTCTTGTCAGATGCCAGATTACTGAGAATCGGAACAGAGCTTCCAACCTGATCACCTGAGGAGAAAGATGGAAAAGATTAAAACTTGCACCCCAAGTGTTAGTACACCAATATTCTATGGCCTCACATGTTAGTAGAGGCAGGGTGCCATTGTACATGGAACTTGTGTCAGTGTGCCATTCTTTTAGGATCCCAAGTATCAGTGTGTCCTCGTTTATGGATTTCAAGTGCCAGTGTGCTATTGTTCTTGAATCCCCAGTGTTCGTTTACCATTGTTCTGGGATCCCAAAAGTTGATGTGCTATTGTTTTGGGATTTCCAATGTCCGCGTGTCATTGTTATGGGATCTCCAGGGTCAGTGTACAAATGTTCTGGGGTCTCAAGTGTCAGTGTGTCATGGATCTTAAGGGCCTGTTCACATGATATCAGGTCCTGATCAGGTGCAGATCTGCAGACGCGGTGCTACTGATGCAGTGCGTTTTGGCTGCGTTTTTGATGCGTTCCAGTTTAAAAAAAAAAAACAATTATTTTTTTTGCTGGAGTGGGGCTGTCAGTATGTTAGCTGCAGTGCAGTGCGTTTTTGACGCGTTTTGCGTTTCCGGTCCGTTTCCTGACCGTACAAAATGTGACATGCAGTATTTTTTCTGTTGTAACTTGAACGGACTGCGCACGTGAGAACTGGAGCCCATAAAACACATAGGGATACATTGGGATGCATTTTTAGCGCAGGAGCGTACAGATCAGGTCAGCACAGAAAACGGACGTCGTGTGAACAGGCCCTAAGTGTCAGTGTGCCATTGTTCTGGGATCCCAGTGTCCGTGTGCCATTGTTCCGGGATCCCCATCTTCTGTCTGCCATTGTTCCAAGAATCCAAGGTTCAGGGTGTCATTGTTCCAGGATCCCCAAACTTAGTATGCCATTGATCTGGGATCCCCAGTTTCAGTGTGCCACTGTCTTGAGTTTTTAGTATTGGGGCCTGTAAAAAGCAGAGTTTTACCTTATCATTGTCTAGCAGGGTCTGGCAGATGATCTCCTCGCATATGTTTGCGGATGGGGCCAGGCAATGCAGTCGGTAGAAAAGCTCCACACAGGTGATATGGTGCTCTCTTGTCTCCATGTTCAGTTGATTCCACAGGACATGAGCCACTCTCTGCCAAGAGAACACGGTTATATTATCTCACTAAATAGCAACTGTGAAAAATGTAGGGTTTAAAATGGCATGTCATCCTCTCCTGCACACATTTAAGGAGCACATAAAAATAATAGGATTCCTCTGTACAAATAATAAAACATTTCAACACATAACCTACAGACTGAGGGTTAAAGAGTCCCAATTGAGGACATATCTGGATATGCAGTCTTTATAATCAATAAGTGAATATAATTGTTCAGGTTTACTTATAAAAAAGCCACACATACCCCTTTACTAAACTTTATTTATCTGAAACTGACACTTCATTTTGAGTGATAAGGTGCCCATACACTGCTCGATTCTCGTACGAGAATCGCGGGAAATCCCGCGATCGTACGAGAATCGAACAGTGTGAACGAAGACGTGCGACCGTTTCTACTGTACGGTCGCACGTCTTTTGTCTAAGGAGCATGTTGTATAACCAGCCGAGAATCGTACGATTTTCGGCTGGTTAGAACGGTGCTCGGGAGACAAATGCCGAACGGGCCGGTGTGCGCACGCGCACGCTCAGCATTGCGGTCATCACAAGCCCGCCCCTCAGGGGGGCGGGCTTGCGATGATCGAGAGTGCGATCTGCCTGTCCAAGATGGGCAGATCGTACGTTTTTTTAATCACTTTACAACCATCGCAAGACTAAGGTCTTGCGATGGTTGTACAGTGTATGGCCACCTTTAGCAGTCAGTAGTCACCAGAAGTTGAGCAATTGCTGACCAGCCAACTACCTTCCTTCACACTCTGTCTCCCAAGTCCTAAGTGTGCACAACATGCTCAAATACCAGCATCATGTATTTAAGATAGATGTAAACAATTACAGGGCTCTGTATTTGACCTCATTATAAACCCTCAATGGTAGGGGGCTTCATGTAAGGGCAGGCACAACTGTCAGGTGACCTCTGACCCCTAAATAAACTATATGGCCAAGAGTTTGTGGACACATTGACTATCACACTTATATGAGCTTGTTGGACATCCTGTTCCAAAACCAAGATCATTAACATGGATTTAGTCCTCCCTGTCTCTTCAGCCAAAAGATCATTTGTGAGGTCAGCTACTGATGTTGGATGAGAAGACCTGGCTCACAATGGGGTTTCCAAAACATTCCAATGCTGTTCAGTAGGGTTCAGGGCTCTTTGTAGGCCACTTAAGTTACTCCATACCAAACCATATCTTTGTGGAGCTGGTTTTGTACACAGGAACACATGTCTTTGCATGCTATAGTGTAACAGTAACCTTTAGTGGAAACACCTCAACTCAATAATTTAGAGTGGTGTCAAAATATCTGTAGGGCACCTGTATGTGTAAGAAGGCTAGCTGCAGTGAAACTGTGGATTAGACATCTGCCCCAAACTAGCTAGATATTGTAAAGGCAGCCTTTTGAGTATGCTGAACCAATATGAACCGGGATGCAACATATGTCCAAGAAGTAGTGATGCTGCATAGCCACAAAACTATAAAAATGTCCACCACCGCTTTCTCTACGTGACATATTTCTATTGAATTTATCAGTAGAAAAGCAAACAACCCTTTAAATGAAAGAATATTGGGAGGCCGTCCTAATACCCAAGTGTACTCACCATTGTTCATTATGTAAAAAACCAGCAATGCTTCTAGGGTCAACTTTTCCCACATGTGAAAAACTAATATCCACATATTTTTTAACAAAAAAAACAACACGATATCAGAACGCCTTTTACCGATACGTGTACTTTTTTTAATAAACTGAACTTTTAATCGTTAGACACAGTCACTGCTACATGAACTGACAAAATTATTTAAATATACAGTGGTACCTCGGTTCACGAACTAAATTCGTTCCGAAACGATTTGGTCGTGAACCAAATCAAACTGTGATCAGGCCGCGATCTCGACTAGAGGAAGCCATGCCCATGTGTCAGAGCAATGAAAATGGCTGCCGTTGTGTTCGTCACCCGAAGCGGAGTTCGCGAACGGAAGCAAAATTTTGCCAAACTTCCTGTTCGCGAACCAAATTGTTTGCGAACAGAAGCGTTCGTGAACCGAGGTACCACTGTATAATCAAAGTGCTGCAACTGTTTGCAGAACAAGGTCATGCCAAGTCCATTATTTCTTAACCAACTGACATCTGAATAGTGAGAAACTTACGGGGTAGAAATCAGTCTTCTCAGCTATGAGTTTGAGAACTCCTGGTGAGATGGGTGGAATGGTGACCATCTGTAGCTTTCCAAAGACTGCATTGTACCCGGACGTCTTGGAGCGTTTCATCCGGTCTTCCATGACGAGAGACAGAGACTGTGAATGATTAACTACCTCCAGCAGAGTGGAAATAGCAACGTTCTGTATATAACAATCCTTCACGCAGCAGCACACGGTCATCAGAGACTTGAACCACAGAGGGAAGCCAGCGTCACCTGAACCCGGAGCAAACAGGAGTCAATGAGAACTGGTGGACACATTCTGAAGTACATTTATATGCAACTGATAAGAGTTTCCACTCAGCATGGAATTGATCCCACCCAGCACTCAATATTAGGGGTTTATTTGGACATCACTCTACCTTAGGTACACCTGAAAGATGACATCCTTGTGTACAAGCCCCCCCCCCCTTGTGTACAAGCCCAACCCCTTTTGTACAAGCTCCATCCCTTATTTTCCAGCTCTGCCCCCTTTACCATGTGAAAATCCTTAGTAAGAACTAATGCTAGAATACACCACTGGACACAGCATGGGGTCAGCTTTAGATACATAGCTATTTTTAACTGTACTGTGCATATAGGCGGAGGCAGTAAGCAGCATCAGTACATCTTTATGATCGTGGGAGCGCGCATAAAAGGGTGGCTCTAGGGGACCATGCTAGGGGACAGGAGCCATCCTAGAACTAGAAGGTGGGGCCAGCACTTAAGGGAATTAATTTGGTGCTTGGCTTCCAGCTACATCCACCCCACCACAAATTTGTTGCAAATAACTTACTGCAGGGGTAGGCAACCTGGGCACTCTTGGAACTACCAGTCCCATGAGGCATTGCAAAACTCTGAAAGCCACAGGAATTACTGCAATTTGTATTATCATCACAGCCTACCCCCTGCCCTATTCAATCGCCCGGTATTTGTTCAGTCTGGAGTTCAGAGGTGGCTAGAGGAGGGAAATGCAGGGCAGAGTTAACAGGTTTGCTTTAATGCCCCCCCACCACCGTACCCAGCAGTACATAGCCACATTACTACTTCCATCTTGAAAGACGCAGTACTTAGTGATTGGCCCTGAGCTGTCACATGGGGTGGGCAGAGAGCCCCCAACCCTGTTTAAGCTCCGATTAGAGCTACAGCCAAGAGTACACAGGGCTTCCTGTTCTCGCTTTCGAGGGCTGAATGGGGCAATGGGGAGTGAAAGGAAGATAAATATATTTTGCTGGGGAGGGGAGTATTAAAATGAACCTGTTGTATTACCCTGCAAGTGCATAACACCAGTTCAATATAAGATTGTATTTTGTTCACACAACCACCACATACCCAAATTTCGCTAGTGGGAAGTGGCGATCTTTTTAAAGCCACCCCAGACATTTACCTGTGGACTTAGTTACTCTCCTTACAGTTATTCTACTCCTTTAAGGTCGCAGTGATCCCTATTTTGTAACATTTTTATAAAAAAGATCCCTGTCCATAGTGTAGGTAGGATAGGGCCCAGCTGAGGACATTCTGCCTATTCCTACCCCAACCTTCCCCGCAGCCAGGCAGCAACACATACCAGGTACTTGGAAGAGAGTCGAGTACAGCTGTTCGGTTTCCTCCTCAGACAGGTAGACGGGGAAGGTAGCGCAGTCCAGCAGGAAGTGGCAGGCAGCGGCAAAGGCCTCCCGGCAGTCCTCGGACATGTCCCCCATGTTCTTGATGATGCGGTCGATGTCCCACTCTTGCTCGGCCCCCAAATTTATTTTCTTTCTGGGGGAGCCAGACAGGGAATATTCCACCTTATCGCTTTTCTGTTTAGACACTGACGGCCACGGGGTGAAGAATTCCGCCAGCATCTGCTTGAACTGCGGTGCCGTCATCTGCTTCTGCTCCCACGTCCCCCTTTTCTTCACATCTTCCTGCTTCTCTGGGGTCAACTGGGTGCCATTTTTCTCAGTCTGCAGCTGAATCCCGAACAGATGTTTGCTGGCAAAGTTGGCTATGAGATCTTGTATGCAGTGCAGTGTCTTCTGAACGTTGCCACCCTTTTTCCAGACATCCCCCTTTTCTGGGCACACCCTGGGCATACGCAGGTACGCGGCGAGCTCCGGGGAGGAGGCACTAAGGCCAATGCCGCTGTCTTCAGATTTCAGAGGAGGGTAGACAGGATCCTCTTCTGCTATCTCCACCTCTGCGTCCCCATTCTGTTTCAACTTCACAGATTCCTTCGATGGACTCTGGAAAAATACATTGTAGCAATGGTTACAGCATGGACTAAGGAGACACAATTAAAGGGGCACTAACCTCAAAAACAGAGGCATTAGATGCAACATGGACAAAGATGACCAAAAATAAATGGGCACTAACTTCAAAAAAGAAATGAAGGTGAAGGCTCTAGGACGGACATCCTTTCCTAGTAAATTAATGACCAGGAAGAAGAATGCAGCCAGTGAGGACTCAAAAACCCGACCTTCAGTTCTTTTGTGTTTTTTTCAGGTCAGTGACTAGGTAATGGAACCCAAGGTTAGGACAACAGCTTGCATCAGGTTCCCTTCAAAGTGTAACTGTACATTTACTGGTAATCTCTTGACACCCCCTTTATTTTTGATGACCTCTTCTGATGAAAGAAATTAGTAAATTAGTAAGTAAACTATGTAGCTCCGCATGGAGGTACGACCCTCTGGTGATGGAGTTGGAGGAAGATATCAATGGACTACAAGCAGGGTGACGTCACCATATTTGTAGTCTCTTTAGATCTACTCTTGGCAGATGGCAGAGTTTTTTTAATTCACACACCCTGTGAATGGTTCTGTGGATGAATGATGGAAGCCACAACCAGCTGTGCCAATTTAAAAAATACACAGGAGCCTGCGGGGAGGAGCATGCCACGATACAGGTAACTAGGGGGCGGGTTGAGCACGGGGACTCTGGAATGGCGCCAAGTTCCATGTTGTACCCTACATAAGGCGATAAGATGAAACATTAAAGGTGCAATGAGCACATTTGCATATGAATTGACGTGACTATATTTCTGGATTAACCTATAATTTTGCCATGCGGCATTACTTTATACAGTCCTGTCAGGACAGGGTTTTAGGGCTCCTCTGCAAACAGTGTATGTGTCAGGAGAGAGAGGGACAGGTACACTTTAAAGAGAACTACTATAGATAGAAATGAATTGCTACTTTATAGAGGGGATCCAACCTTTCCTCGCCCCCCCCCCCCCCCTTGTGAAGGAGATAATAAAAAAAACCTTCCTTCAAAACACTATGCATAACAAAGCTTTGTGCACACTGCCCTTGTCATCTGGTTTATCTTACTCTCACCAGCTGACACATCAACATGATTAACCAGCTGCTATTCCACACAAAGCCTATAGGGGGCAGCAAGTGACATTTAGCCAAGTGGTTCTCGACCTGTGTAACCTCAAGACCCACATTTGTCCTTGGTCATTAAGTCGTGACCCAAGTTGCACGGCAATGGAACGCAGTGTGGGCTGCTGTGCTGTGACGGAGCTCCATCCATATGTGCATCCACTTGTACAGCTTCCTTGCATGCCCTGTAGAGGTGCCAGGAGCCAGATTGTCACATTGACATGTCACTACAGTCCAGGCACCTTTACAGGATACGCGAGTGAGCTGTAAGCAAGGCAGGCATGGATGGAGCTCCTTAGCGGCCATACCCCCAGCCCACCCCACCTCAAGCTGACACTTGGCAACGAGCAGCATATTTTGAATAGCTGCTTGGCGTGAGAACTGACAGTCCTGTGCTAGGGGGAGGCTGAGGAACCGCTCGCCTAGAAAAGTGGAAGGCACACGGCGACCCACTGAACACGGGGTTTGTGACCCACTTTTGGGTCACGGCCCACCAGTTGAGAACCAAGGATTTAGCCAATGCACAAGTGTATGGATGCCATGTGTCATTACAAGGCCTATTAGACAATATTCACACAATTATAACATATAAACTCTAACATATACTTTGCACAAAGCTCACAAATGCATAAAAGGGATAAAAAAAAGTATTTTTTAGCATTTTTTTAAATCGTGCATTAGAAAAGGCATTAAATTTATTATGCAGGCAGTCCCCATGTTACGAACAAGGTTCTGTAGGTTTTTTCTTACGTTGAATTTGTATGGAAGTTGGAACAGGTAAATTTTTTAAATGTAACTCCAGCCAAAGTTTTTTTGTTTTGGAGGAATGAACGTTTTGACTCTAGCATGCAATGCAAGGATAAAGCCGTTCTACCTTCTTAGACCCAATACCCCATGGGGACCGCGGTGCTCAGCACGAGTCTCTGCCGGACCCAATCAACAAAATGAAGTGGAAAAGAGCTGCCACTTGTAAAAATCCTCTTAATGACGTCTCTTTATTGAAAAGGCATAAAAGCATCTAAAAAGATTGCTAACATGTTTCAGTCCACCAAGGGACCTAAAAGGAGAACTATGGGGTTAAGGCTTTTCCCCATAGTTCTCCTTAGGGTAACGGGAGGACACAAACTAGCGTCCTCCCGTCACCCTAAGTTCAGTATACCGCGAGCTACAGCTCGCGGTATACTGAGACACCGCAGCCGGGACGGATCCCGACAATTATGTCTGGATCCGCCTAGCTGCGTGAGTGACAGCTGGCTCTGCATATCTAGAGGCAGAGCCAGCTGTACCCGCCCCCTCCCCCGTCCGTTCCGCCAGTCAGCGCTGGCGGATAGGAGCGGGGAATCCAGCCACTCCCCTGTCACAGCAGAGAGCTGTGACAGGATCGAGAAGTGAGCCGACCTGTGACAGTCTCATTGTCACAGGTAGGCTAGAACTATGAGGTGAGTGAAAAGCACTCACCTCATAGTTCTCCTTTAATGACAGCCAACATGTTAGCAATCTTTGTAGCTGCTTTTATGCCTTTTCAATAAACAGTTGTCACTCCAGGACAGGAAGTGTGTTACTGGCAGGATCACCAGGTGAAAATAAAGGGAAAAAGCCTGAAAAAACAAAGAACAAATGCAGCCACCGCATCGAAGGACTGGTCAGTTGCAATAGGTTACATTTTTGGTTTTGGGTTTACATACACTTTGATAGAAGCCACATGCTGCTCTGAGCTGCACTGTGTTTGAATGCTGTCTTTTCAATGCATGAACATGTCTATTGAAATGAATGGGCTGCCAATGCATCCTAATGCAACTGGACGGTACCTTTTTGTGTAATGCAATGTGTGTTGCAGTGTATAACAATACAGGTGTATTGACTGAGTGCATTGGGGTGGCACCTAAAATGAATGGCACCACACTAACGCATGTTATATGCAACACCTCACTTTCCTGCGAACCATCGGCCTACATAGGCCCTATTTAAATTGTCCCACTAAATGGGACTAAACTGGCCGTCCTCATAAAAGTATAAAAATATACACACTCTTTAAAATAGAGTTCAGTTTAATCATTCGTATATTTATTATATAGTACATGAACTAAATGTTGATGACTGAAAGAAGAAAAAAAAAGTGGCTGTGACCTCTAAGCAGCACTCATGTGTAAAGTGTATAGAAGCAGCTTACAGCATCCGGACTCATGGACTCCATATCCAGGTAAGCGGGGGGCATCTGCACTTTGCTGAGCACCTTGAAGCAAGTCTTCAGAGCCTGCGTGAGCTCTGGGAGGCTGAGACTGTCCATGTTCTCGGAGAGGGACTGTGCCATGTAACTGATCATCTGCGGCAGGTACTGCGTCTGCACTTCGGAATACAGTTCCTGAAACAAGGGAGAACAAGGTTTCAGCTTTTTGACTGTGACAGGTCCCCTTCATAGAGAAACCAAGCAAAAATCTGATTATAGCTCTCTAGTAAAGAACTGCCATTGTCAATATATTCAAGTCAACCAGGAAGATGGTTTTTAAACACATTTTTAGATTGTTAATGAATAAATGTAATAAACGTGACATTTAGAGGAAACTTCGGGACTGTTTGTTTACACCTGCCGTGCAGCATTGGGGGTCCCCAGTTTAAATCCCGGTAGGGACACTATCTGCATGGAGTCTGCATGGTCTCCCTGTGCTCGTGTAGGTTTCTCCTGGGAACTCCGATTTCTTCCCACACTCCAAAGATATGCTGGAAGGTTAATTGGCTCCTGTCTAAATCAGCCCTGTATGTATGTGAGATAGGGACCTTAGGTTGTAAGCTCCTTGAGGGTAGGGACTGATGTGAATGTGCATTACGTAAAATGCTGTGTAAATTGACGGGGCTATATAAATACCTGTAATAAATAAATACATATATACATACGTACAGATACAACTGGTTTTCTTTCAGTGCTAAGAAGAATAAAGTGACTGCCATTGCTGATCTACTTCTGGAAATGCTCTCTGCCAGGCTGTGATGCTGACCCACTAGCTGTCACTGACTTGGAACAAGTTTGCTGCTCAAGAAAGTCCCAGAAAAGTTAAAAGAAATCTTCTCTGTATAATTTACTCTGGGGTCAGTGATTCAATGTATTGGAGCAAGACAGCTACGTGGTCTGCATTTTGAGCACAGATCAGCAATGGCAGCAACCAAGTTTCTCTCAAGACTGCTTTGTGATAAAGAGAGTTCATCTGACACTAAAGATTGATGACAATGATAGCAATAGCTACAATTACTTTTGGGGGTGGGCTGGCCCTCTAAAGTGGACCGGAACTTAAAAATGGAGTTGCTATTTTATAGTGAACATGTAGAAATTTTGAGTGTGCCTAAGCAACATCCTTGAAAAACAGCATTGCACTTCCTGTGCCTTGAGCCTCATTGCAGTATGTCTGCAGCATCAGATCTTAGGCACTGCTGCCTCAGGCCAATAGTTTTAGGAGACAAAGCAGCATCTGCAGTGCAAGGATCACCCAGCTTCTGTAATTGTAACACACAAATACTACACAATAAAGTTGTAATGAGGGGCATGGGCGGAGGTGTCTTGTTATCATGGATTTGTCACTTGTCTAAGCCTTGTTTTCATTAGGGATGTTCAGATACCAGTCATGTACCAGTGCAGATACTTGGCATTTTCATGAGAACTACCAGGGTGCAGTGGTTGCAGCGGGGACCTGGCTCTGGGGCTCCACCACTGTCCTGAAATCATTAGTCTGTATTGTTTTAGAAAAACTGTCACATGACACTAAAAATTTTTTTTATCAGTACTTGTGTTATCGGTGCATCCCTTTATTTATATTTATAAAATCATACATTATAACAGAGATGTACAAATCCCAGGAGCTCCGTGTGCTCCTTACAAATGACAGCTGCCTCCTAACTTTTTAATTTTTCTCTAGTCTTGTCTTGGAGCTGGAAAAGTATGTGTACTTGTACTTGTGCCGAGTACGGTACTTGGTATCTGAACATCCCTAGTTTTGATGATGTGAATATAAATGTTAGGGTGACCATACACTGCTCCAGAGCAGATTTCTCCATCAACACTGCGGCTGTGTTGATCGAAGAATCCCCGCTGTTTGCATTGTATTGTGACAGTGGCCGCCGACCCCTGTCAGAATACCCAAACATAACGGGCAGATCACTGGCTGTCGGCTCTGGTCGTACAAAGCTTTTCCGATCTGCTGCTCCTTCGATTAGCTGATCGAGGGGCTGCTCTCATATGAGGAAGCAAAGCTCTGCCTCTACCAAGATGGCCACCTTCACACAGAGACATAGTGCAGAACAAGGCATGGTAAGCCAGTCCTGGGGAAAAGGTCAGCTGCAGGGAGACCGCAGGCAATACTTATGCCTAATCCCTTGCCCCCTGTCTACGTTTTCTTATGTACAAATTGCACAAATCCCTCTAAGATTTTTCTGGGAAATTTGCCGAAAGATGTTTCGATCTGAATATGCACATTCCAGAAAAAGACAGAGTGTTGGAAAACTGGCAAAACATAAATACATTTAAGGTTTGATTACAATTCCAAAGTTCCCTTACCAGGGGAATAACATCCAACAGAAAGACCAGCAGAGTGCAGATCTCAGACACACAGGGGGGTCGGCCCACGTATCTACTGTCTGTGGAATCCATGTTTTTTCTGCAAAAAGCAATGACGGAAATATTACTCATTGAATGGGAACAGGTCTTTAGGCTTTGTACAAAACTGGACAACAGATATGCAGAGCTGTGAGCCAGAGCACCAAGGGACCTATTTATAGAGGATTCCGCTACCCACTGTCAGCTAAACTATAGTGTTTCCTTCCCACTGTGTCTGCATTGTATTGTACAGATTTCTCCTCTGTAATGACCCCACCCTATATCAATACCCTACAGAGCTCTTCTATGTAATCAGCCTCACCCAGGAACTAATACTCTACAGATCTCTCCTATGCAATGCTCCCACTCTGTACTAATACTTTACAGATCTCTCCTATGCAATTTACAGATCTCTCCTATGCAATGACCCCACTCTGTACTAATACTTTACAGATCTCTCCTATGCAATGACCCCACTCTGTACTAATACTTTACAGATCTCTCCTATGCCATGACCCCACTCTGCACTAATACTTTACAGATCTCTCCTATGTAATGACCCGCACCGCGTACTTATACCCACAGATCTCTCCTATGTAATGACCCCAACCCAATATTAATACTGTACAGATCTCTCTGATGTAATGACCCCAACCCAATATTAATACTGTACAGATCTCTCTGATGTAATGACCCCAACCCAATATTATTACTGTACAGATCTCTCTGATGTAATGAGCCCCACTCTGTATAAATACCCTACAGTTTTATCCGATGTAAAGACCCCACTCTGTATTAATACTCTACAGATCTTTCCTATGTAATCACCCCACTCTGTATTAATACTCTACAGATCTTTCCTATGTAATCACCCCATTCTGTATTAATACCCTACAGATTTTTCCGATGTAATGACCCCACTCTGTATTAATACCCTACAGTTTTCTCCGATGTAATGACCCCACTCTGTATTAATACCCTACAGATTTATTCTATGGTAGATGTACCTGAAGCTCTGCTCAAAGCACACAGTCATATAATCCCACAGGAAGTCTGTGCTGAGAGAAGTGATGAGGAGATTGACCGTCTTCATTATTTCTGAAGCATTCTTGTTTTCTTTAATTGCACTAAAAGACAAAGTGATCAGAATAAAATATTTTCCTTTTAACGAGTGAAGTCATGGAAACAGGCAAACAGTATGAAAAGACAAAGAGCTAAATGTAACGTAGCGGGTAAGTGTATTATCATTGAAGGTACACTTTCCCATCCGCCCTTGCTCTCCTGACTGAAATGACTTAATCCTCACCCTCCAGCTCCTGAGAAACTCTAGTCTTAAGAAATGACCCTATACAACTTTATTAGGGTTTCAAATGGGTGGTAAATACAAAAGTATATGGACACTCCATCAAATTATTGAGTTCAGGTGATTCCAGTGAGGGGTACTATTACTGCAACAGCATACAACGCCATTTATGACAATTTTGCACTTTGAACCCGATGGCAACTAGTGTTACCACAGACACACTCCAAAATTTTGTGGAATGCCTTTTCAGAGGAGAATAGGGTGTTAAAGCAGCATAGGGGAGCCAGCTCCATTTTACAGGCACCCCAACCTTGAAATGATGGCAGATAGCAGAGTAGCTAATGCTTCCCTTGCTATAGGCTGTTTTTTTTTTGTATTCTGACAGCTACTGCCATCAGAATAATAAAAAAAACAATGGATAGCATGGGAATGAATAGCTAGGCTGCTATTGGATATTTCAATTCATTTTTATCACATGGATGAACATCATTTTCACACATGGATGGGCCACCACAGAGTCCAGACCTTAACCCCATTGAGAATCTTTGGGAGGTGCTAGAGAAGACTTTGTGCAGTGGTCTGACTTTCCCATCATCACTACAAGATCTTGATGAAAAATGAATGCAGCTTTGGATGGAAATTAGAGTGTGTGAGTTTTTTTGGTTAGGCAGTGTATAACTAATGCAGCTTAGTGAACTGACCGCTATAGTGGACTGACTGGGAACTGAGCCCAAGATCCAGAGCTGCAAGGCAACCATGCTGAACTCCGGCCAGTAAAAAGGTTTCTAAAAACCACATATACATGTCTTAGCTAATGGTCCTGTGATCTTATGCTGCACCGATTCTTTGAAAGTTTCTGTGCAGTCAGCCAGCCTTGCTGTCAGCCCTCATGTCAATGCCATCCCTATGATTATTGCAGGACCATTTGAGTGACTTGACAAGCTAATGGGCAGCATCCACATCACCAGGATGGGACGTTGGCATTGCCAGGAGTAGCCACCCACTTTGCAGCTCAAAAGATAAGAGGACTGGGACATTGGATGTCATATGACTGTGGATTAAAGGAGAACTATGAGGTGAGTGCTTTTCACTCACCTATTAAATATACTAGCCAGTGGTGTAACTTATAGCTATAGCAGCCCAGGCGGCTGCAATGGGGCCTGGAGGTGAAAAGGGGCCCCGTTAAGTTGTTGAGGCAAATTAAACATAGGACATGTGAAGAGAACACAGAATAATAGAGGAGTGGTTGCAGTTGATGACTCTAATCCCTTGTAAAGTCAACAGTGTAAAGACAACTTCAGATGCATAAGAGGAGTATTTGGGATCTTGGCATCATTACTCGGAGCTCAGAGAGAGGTCGTTAGGGGGGTCCCCATCACATTTTTGCTATGGGGCCCCGTGATCTGTAGTTACGGTCCTAATACTAGCTATAGATTGCCTGGGGGCGGGTGGAGGGGTAGACTTATTTTTCTGGCCAGAGTTCAGCTTCATCCACCACTCTACCCAGTGTAGGATTGCTTGGGGTCTATAGTGTGGTCAGTCCAGGCTGTGCTTTCATTATTTTTCTTCTAATGTACCGGTGCTGTTTTGAATGGAACTGAAGCAGAAATTGAGGGTAAAGCCAACGCTAACAAGAATTCTGATCTTGGCACTTCCCTGCAATTCTATTAATACCTTATGAGCTGGCTGCCAGTCTGGGCATAACTCAGCTTTATATCGGTCCCCAGAGCATCCCGGCAGTACGCATAAAAGGCCCTGATCACTTCCAGGAACAAATCGCCCACCACAGGAGGACCTGATGCAAAAATAGAAAATTCAATTTCATCAGCAATACAGCATGTGACAAATCCAACTAAATGATGAAAGGGACAGACACTCTGTTTTCAGTGGGCCCTGGGTATCTAAACTAGATAATGGCATTTTATATTGCTCTGTGATTTGTATAGTGATGAGGATTAAGGATAAGCTCGGGCGTGTTTGCAGCTCCATGTGCCGAGCCTGCCAGGAAGCTGACAGCACGCAGCGCCAATCACAGGCACTGAGACATTTCCCGATCTCTACAGCTGCGGACCCGGGACATGTCTCAGTGCCTGTGATTGGCGCTGCGCGCTGTCAGCTTCCTGGCGGGCTCGGCACATGGAGCTACGAACACGCCCGAGCTCATCCTTAATGAGGATTCCATGATACAGTGCCCAGGCCTGCACACCGACCACGCTCATGACAAAGAAGTCAAACTCTCACCCATCCTATGTCTCTATACCCCTTCAAAGCCATAATGGCCATCTTGCTTTTTTCATACTACTCTGTCCATATATTGTATTTTCTCCATAACACAGAATCCATTAGGGGAATAGGAGTCCTTATTTGGCTTTGTAAAGGCATCAGCAATTGGAAATTCTGGTGGGGATGTCTCAGGAAGGGGTCACTTGGGCAAACAAGAATCTAGCATGTGATTCAACTTGCTAGCTATCACACAGAGCAAAGTGTCAGTTTTCGGTAGAGATAGTCTTAAAGTCCAGTCAGGAATTCAGAAAACACCAATTACTGTAGGTATGTAAAAATCATGACATCTATTTTTAAAGGCAGCTAGTATAAGTATCTATATCTGACTCGATATCAGCCTCCTGCAATCCCCTGTCCCTTGGAATGCCACCATGCAGATAAGGAAGAGCTAAAAGTTGGAGAGAGCAGATTGTGCAGAAATAACAACTCAGTGTGCTGCTGCTCCCTCAATGTCCAATCCACAGGGGGGGGTTCCTTTAACCAAGCTGTGCTTTTGCAGTTGAGGTTGAGGATCTGGCTCTGGTGTCTATATCACAACAGTTGCTGTATGCAGGGCCGGATTTCCCACAAGGCCAACCAAGGCACGGCCGCAGGGAGCAGCAGGGAGTAGAGGGGCAGCAGGGGTGTGGAATTCCTGAATTCCTATCTCCCAACTCTCGGGACACGCAGTACCGGGCGCCGGGCGAGTAGTTGTTTTCTACATTTAGCCCTGCTTTGGGCAAGCAGAGCTAAATGTACAGCAGGGAAGCCTCCGCTTGTTTTGTACAAGTGATCTCGGTGATGTCGCAGAGATCACTTGTATGCAGCCTGCATTTCTGCCATTCTCCACTGTGGGTGTGTTTGGCGGGTAGGGGGCGTATTGAGGAACTTGGCCTTGGGGCAGCAGAGAGAGTAAATTCGGCCCTGGCTGTATGTACTTCAAAATGTAATTAGCTGTTTGTCTGTAATTAAGCCTTTAGCAAATGTATTTCTATATTCCAAATATTAAGTGAGAGAACAGAAGGATGAGGCCCCCCCCCCAATGTGTGACACACATTAGGAGTAAGTAATGCGCTGAGGAAGCTGTGGAAAGGCAACTCACATTACCTATCTCAGGCTTGTCCAGCAGGCTAATCAGGATTCGGAAAGGCTTCAGATAAACGTGTAGACCTTGTTCAGAATCTGAGTAGAGGATATTCTGGTGTAATATCTGCATAAGTGCCTGAAGTAAAAAACAGAAACATTGAGTTGTTATCACCTTTTATTGATATAGCACCTGCATATTCGGCTTAGTTTTACAACAGAAATTCAGTTTTAAAGCGGAATTTAACTCTTATCTTAAAAATGTCATCAAAGGCACCTTTAGAACTGTTTAGTAATGGCAATCTACAAACAGATACTTCTAGATAATTGCCGGCTTTTTTATTCTTTACATATTTTATTTTTTTTCTTCCCCAGGTTTAGTAGTAGTAGTTTATGCAAAATATGTAAACCAGATTATATCATATTCTAGAATGTCAATCTTTCAGGCACGTTAACAATGTAGTATGTCAATCTTACCTGGACCAAAAAGTCTTTTGAGTATTTGGAGAAAAAACTGGAGACGTATTCTTCTTCTCCGACAGAGGCCTTCAGCTTTGGAGCTACCACTCCACCTTTAATATCGGATCCTACAATGCGGAACACCATATATAAATATCGAATAACACATGTAGTAGGTCCACAGCTTGGCCTTTATCCAGGAAGTCCATACACCGATGATGTAACCCCCCTCAGCCAATCATACACCAGTATACAGTGCCAGATACAGAACATGGTCATACCCCAGAAATCAGGCTGGTCCAAGGGGTAGGCAGAAGAGGCAGCAGCTTTA